AATCTGGGTCCTAGACACCTTACTAACTCAAGAACATTATCCTTCACCTTTGCATGAAAGAGAAATAAACGTCTACCTTTATAAAGCCACAATTAGTCTTCGTGTTTCTGTCATTGACGTAAAATCCAAGTCTAATGCTCATCTAAATTCTAAATGAAAAAAAAAAGAACAATCACCCAGAATGGTGCAACTGAATATAGTTATCACTCTTCACACTGTCAATAGCTCTTAAGATGAAGCTGGTTGGAATTTAAATGTCTATAAAATATACATGAGGATTTATAAAGTCAGTACAAAAGAAAGAATGTAAAATAGCTCTTTAATAACTTATTTTGATTGCATGTTGAAATGACTTTTTTAAATGTTGGGGTTAAGTATATCATTAAAATTAATTTCATGTTACATTTTAGTTTAGCTAATATGTTTAAAACTACATATGTGATCTATATTTTATTTCTATTGAACAGCACTGATCTAGAATACACATGCATATTTTAATATGTAGCTCAGTAGCTATCTTCACTGAAGTGCAAAAAATATATAGCACAGGCTACAGTGTTTCAGATTTAGATCAGGAATAGGGTGACTATCTTTCCAACAAGGATTTTTAAAAATGAGAATGAAAGATTGTTGATGTACCTTTCCAAGAAAGAATAGCTCATATGAGTTTAAATTTTATTCTGTTTCAAGATACAAAGCGAATTAAATGCTCACAATACCTGACGCACAATAATTTTAAATCTGATAACTTTGATACAAAGTCCAATATCTTAGAAAAATTATTCTGTGTATATATGAATACATATATACAAATGCAAATACTGTATGTTATGTATGTTTCAGATTTTATTCTATGTTACTATTTTCTAGAGCATGAATGGCTTTCTTATTTTTGATGTAGATCTAAAGTTAATTACACTTTAGTGCTGTATTCACACAATTAAGTTCTTGCGAGTGCTTTCTTCTTGTTTGCTGATTTTTAAGAGAGGGTTTCATTGTGTACTCAAGCTGGATGGAAACATGCAGTCCTCTTCCCTGAGTCTCTGAAAGGCTGGGATTTGAGGTGTGCAGCACCATGCCAAGCTTGCACCATTAAATTTTGCTTCTGCTCCGGTGGTGGATTTTCAGGTCGGCTCACATAACGGTCGTCCTCCAGAGCTAGCAGACTGGGGCTGAGGACAGTTGGCACTTGTCTCAGAGCTCTTTGAACTTATTAGCAGTGCTGCCTGTCTTTCCCAAGACCTCTTTTCAGGGCACAGATAACCATATTAGCCATGACATGTAAAGCCAGTGGTCCTCTATGGGTTGGCTCTAATTCTACTAATACTGCCATCTTTGTGTACATGTACTTAAGAGGTAGCTGTGCAGTAGCAATACAGTAAACTTCCACTTTACCAAAATGGGAAGGAAATTCTTTATTTTGGCTAAAGGAATATTCTGATTTTTGATCTTTGGTGTGCATTCTAAATTTCAACATTTGGATTATAGGAAACCACTTAAAGTATAGGGTCAGTCTTTAGAAAGCAAGTACTTCATTTTCTTCAAAAGCTTGGAGTCAACTGGGAATAAGACACAAGATATTTTTATAGAGATGAAAATACCAATTTTATTACTGAAAAAGCCATTGGGAAAGTCTGGCTGTAAATCTGTAGAGAAAGGGAAACTAACATTCTGCTTTTCCACTAGACCTTACAGCAACTCACAGGAGGAAAAGTCTGGCCTGCTCAGGAGACCCACTTAGGGAAAATTGCTGCCTTCTGCTAGTCTGGTGAACAAACAGATGAAAACAGGAAGAAATCCCTGGTGGTTTTAGTCCTGTATTAATTAGCTCACCAAATTAAGAAGCATGAGCCAATGGGGTGAACATGGGAAAGAATAGAAGAAAAATCTTTACAGAGGCAAAGCAGCAAGGTAAAGGGTAGAGAAGCTTATTCTTCTGTTGTTGAACATATTTCTGGTTAGGAATTGGGGGTCCCTGGGCTAACACTTACTTACCCATTGTAATGTAAGGGTCACTACAGTGGATGTCTGCTCATTTTGCCTTCCCAGCATTCAACATTTCTGGGAAAGAAAAATTCAATTGTCCTGTATGAAATAACCCTTTTCTTCTTACAGTAGATGGGATTCTGGTGGGTTTGAGCACAGCCCTCAGGCTGAGTACAGCATTCTATTGGGCATGTGACTCACTTTGGACTAATTGGCCTGAATCCTAAAACCTGGGTTGAAACTCCTGGGAAAGGAGTGCCCTCTTTCTGTGAGGGTTCAAAGCTGGCCAGTACAAGCCTGCAGTACTGGCGATGCTCATCTTCAAAAAGGAAGCCAATGAAAATAGAATGATGGAGACATTCTGAGTCTTCATATTTTTATTGAATGAGTGTTGGATATACAGTTTTGCCTAAACCAGTGCTACTTCCAGGTACCTGTTGCTTATGAAAGTCAATGGATTCTTTTTTAAATTTTTAAACTTGAGTTGGATTTTCTTCACTTAACAACAAAACAATTTCTGTTAATAAGCTCTCACACACACAACATCTTCCTCATAAATTTGTCACAAAATCTAAATTGTACACAGGAGGAATTTTCTCCCAGAAATACCATACTACCAATTAGAATAATTTACTGTTAGGTAATGTAATAGCTTTTGAGGAAAAGGATAGGGAGAAAATGGACATTTTATCAAGGACACTTGTACTTCTCTAAGGAAAAGTAAAGGGTAGAGAAGCTGATTCCTTTCTCATTGAACTGGTTTCAACTTGATAATTAGCCAAGGACTCTCAAACAGGAGAACCTAGGGAGATTTTAAAACATAAGTATGTGAAGCCTGCTTTAACCTGCTGAATATATTCTATGGTATGTCTTCACATCTTTAAAAAAAGTTCTACAAGTTACAAGTGGTTTACAAGTATTAGTCTAGAGACTGAGGTAGTGGTAAATCACCCTGATAGTAGGCATTCACTTATTTATTCATTTGGGAATTATTTTTAGTTTTCTGTTTTGCTATAGGCCCAATCAGAATGCAAGCATGAATGACAGAGCCTGCATAAAGAGGTCTCATATAAACGACAGAGCACTCATAAAGAGCCAGCAGCCTGACATTTGGACTGTATGGAGGCATGAATAAAAGTCTAGATGGACAAGTTGGAAAGAGAAAAAGGGTTACTCTATTGTTTGTTTGTATTACTGAGGATTGAACCCAGGGCCTTTGCACTGAGCTACATACCCAGGCCTTTTTTATTTTACATTTTGAAGGTCTTGCTAACTCACTAAATTGCCCAGACTGGGCTCAAACTTAGGATCCTCTTGCCTTAGCCACTCAAGAGTGCTAGGAATTCAGGCAAGCACCACCATATCTGGCTTCTGCTGAAGTACTGAAAAAGAGTTATGTAAAAGAGAGGGCACTTGAAAAGGTGTTGTAGTGACAGTGGGAAAGGGGAAAGAACACTGAGGCCCAAGATTAGTGGTACAAAATGGGAATATTTGTAAAGTCTTGGATTACTCTGGAAATGATGAGTTTGGTGTGAATCGAGAAATTCCTGCAAAGTAGAGTGTGACAGTTGAGGAAGAAACAGGTGGTAATTTGTTTTTCAATTTCATGAAATGCTTAAATCGGGAATTTGTTCTTGTGTGTCCCCAGTGGTATGTATAATGCATTGATTAACTCAGATTTAGACTTTACCTTTCTCATGAAGTCACATTTCTTCCCAGCTTAAATTCCAAGTCAATCATTATTGAATTTTCCATGAATATATCCCCAACCTTTCTGCTCCTCTTCCACTTTGCTGCATTCATTTAATCACAACCTTAGTTAAATTTGACTCTCCCAGTTTTCCATGTTACCACACGTGCAGTTGAAAGTGGATGGAAAAAATCCAAAACCACACTGTCTGGTCTCACCTTACCTTCCTGATCACCAAAGAGCACTGCTCCCAGGCAATCATACTTGATTGATAGTTCATTCACTTGCCCATTCTCCTGGAATGAAGTCATATGTTGTCCTCTCTCATCATACCTCCACCTCCTCCACATCCTAACTCTCAGATGACCTTGCTTTCTGGGGTTTTACTATAAAAGTTAAGCAATGCGAAAAGGGCTTCCATACACTTCCACTATCACATATACCTACCTACCTGCTTCTGTGACCATCTACACTACCTTTGCTCTTGTCCAAGCTCTACGCCATCGCTAACCCTGTGCTATGTACACACTCATCTTCTCTCAATTCTTCAAAGGCATTGTTCAGACAATTCCCCAATCACTTCTACTAGCACGAAAGTAAATATTATTCCCCCGTTTTAAAAATATACCCTCATTGACTCTATTTCTTTTCTTCATAAACTCGCTTCAAGAATCATCCATAATATGCATGGCCTCCAATTCTGACTTTCACTCCCCTTTAGCCCACTCTATAGAACCATCGATGTCTTCAGTTCTCAGCCCTCATCTCCCTTGTTATCATCTGAGGCCTCATCTTCCTATCATTACTCTTTTCTTTGTGGGCCTACTAGAACATCAGATATTTCTGATTTTCATCCTACCTCTCTGACTGAGACTTAGTCTTCATTAGTTCCTTCTCATCTCTATGACCTTTAAATGAATTCAAGTGTCCTAGAGCTCAATCCTTTCATTCTCTTCTATGTTTTACCCACATTTGCTTTCTTGGCAATTTCATCCCATCTCAGGGCTTTCAATACTGTCTTTAGGTTGATGACACACAAATTTATATTTGCAGTCTGAACCCCTCCTGTGAACTTCAGATTAACAAATCCACTCCAGACTCACAAAATTTTTTGTTTCTCAAATTCAACATATCCAAGATTAAACTCTAATATCCTGCATTCTCTAAAACCTATTCTCTTTGCAGCTTTTCCATTTCAGGAAATGTCAACTTCTTTTTACAACTGCTCAGGTCAAAGTCTCGAAGTCTCTTTACACCTCAATCCAATCTTTCACAAAACCTGCCATTGTCTTCAAAATATATACAGAATCCAACCACCTCTCACCTATTTTTCTGTCACTGTCATTATCCAAGCCACCAAGAACTCTTGCCTTGAGCACTGCAATGGTCTGTGACGAGGATGGCCATGCAACACGATTTTCCTGTACACAGCTGCAGCTTTTGCCTTTTGTCCTGAAATAATTATTAAGGTGTCCTTTTCTTTTTAAAAGTTGTCCCATGGGCCGGGGATTTAGCTCATTGGTTTCGCCACCTGCTGCATAAGCGCAAGGACCCAAGTTCGATCCCCGGTACCAAAAAAACAAAAACAAAAACAAACAAACAAACAAACAAAAACGTTGTCCCAGTTGGACGATACATTATATAATCACCCTAAGCATAACTGCTTCTGCTATGGCCCCCTTTTAGATTGTTTTTCACACAAAAGTCAGAGTGATTATGTGAAAGCTAAGTCAAACCTAGCCCCTCCTCTACCCAAACCCCCCCAAATCCTTATGCACTCAGAATAAAAGCTAAAGCCCACATAACAGCCTAAAAGACCCGCATGATGTGACCTGCTGTTTCTTCTCTGATATCTTCTCTGACTTGACCATTGGCTACTTTGCTACAGCTATACTGTCCTTACTGAACTTGGAAAACACCCAGAACTTTCTCATCAGAGAGGATTTGCGTGGCTTTTCCTTCTTCTTGCATGTACCTTCCCAACAGCATAACTTAATCCTTACCTCTCTCCAGGTATTGTTCACGTATCATCTTCTGATTGTGGCTTTCCCTGTACATGCAATTTTTGATTTAGATTTTTAGTACATATGTCATTCCCTTCTCTACTTTTTTCTGAGCATTTATATCTCACTTATTGCTATATGTCTTGTCTTCTTTCCATTAAAATGAAGGCAATGTAAAGTCACATTTTTACCTGTTTTGTTCACTGCTCTATCTCTACTGTCTAGAAGAATGCTAGGCACACAGTAGAAGTTCAATAAATATTTTTTGAATGAACATACAAATAAATGAACATATGAGCAATGATACAGTAAAAGTACATCAAACATGATTTTATCATATCTTGTTTTCAGAACAATAGCCATGGAATAATGATAAGCTAGTGGGAAAAGTTTACTCACTGGGAGAATAGTTTTTAGAAGGTGTTGGTATAAGTTATTGTGCACAGACCAAGGCGGGTGGCAGGAAAGAGAAGGATGTAGGTTGGACCAGCTGGGAGAAACAATGAAGCGTTCAGGGTATATGTGTAGTCATGGAGGGAGGAGAAAGTGTGAAAGGCACTAAAAGGGCCCAAATTAGATTCCAATGCTGATCTACTTTGTTGTCATGGGTTCTGGAAGCCTAAACCTTACTCCATCTGCCAGTCTTATATCTGTGCTAAACCCTGTGACTTCTAGATTCACCTATAGTCTCAACCATGCCACCCAAAGTCAGTACATTAGATACTGGGAATGCAAGGGTGAATGACGGAAGTGTGATCCCTCCCCTCACTGAGCTCAAGGTGTACCTGTAGAGGTAGACATTAAGCAAACATTCAGCAAACAGTATAAGGAGAGAGAGAGAGAGAGAGAGAGAGAGAGAGAGAGAGAGGAACCCCTGCACACTTTTCAGACCATTTTCTTTAGAAAACAAGTAATTCTAAATTCTTTTTCTGATGACTTTGATATGCATGCAAATCTGTTTAATCAGAAGGTTTTTACTGGCTTTGTAAGGCAGGAAAAAAAATCTCAGGTTTGGGGAGGCATTTTTAAAAAATATATATAATCATTGAAGAATAATGATGGGCTAAAGATGTAGCTCAGTGGTGGAGCATTTGCCTAGTATATGCGAGGCCTTAGTATAGGTGGGTCTAATCCCCAGTACCATTGGGAAAAAAATAAAGGACGCCTTTTTCTCCCAGTTTCTGTGGGACAGTAGGAGCCTAACTTTGGCAGGTGCCTCACTCCCGAACTGTCTTCTGTCATAAAGATATGAGGAATGTATTTTTTCTTTATTGTTCATCCTAAAAATGTGACAAATGGTTCTTTCTCTGTCCTTTTGAAAACATATCTGGCATGGGTTTATCTGCTTGGCTATGTGAATGCATAAGATTTCTGTCTACAATTTCTTTAGGGCTTTGCCTGTGATGGCATCACATTCTGGTTTAATGGGGTTTACTTATGACATGCACCACATTTTGTTTTAATGCTTATTCAGCAATAGAATAGATTTCTTTATTTGTGTGTTGGCAGGAGATTTTGCTTTTGATTACACATTCTCAACAAAAGGAATAAGAATTCTTAAGTACTGTTGGTAGGAGAGGGAACTGTGACAGCCACTCTTTTTTTAATTTTTATTTTATTTTTTGGTACCGGGGATCGAACTCGAGTCCTTGCGCTTGCACAGCAGGTGGCAAAACCACTGAGCTAAATCCCCGGCCCAGCGACAGCCACTCTTGAGTTATTAAATTAAGTATGTTTGCCTTTTGCTCAATAATTCTATTCTTCGTATGTATCCCAGAGAAATTATCCTTAAGAAAACAATTATAAGGCTGTTCATTACAGTGTTTTTTACTGGAGTCAAAATAGATGCCCTTCACTAGAGATACATAACCAAGACAAAATGTGGTAATGCACATTATGTAATAGTGTATAGAATGCAGAAATAATGAACTAGATGTACATGTAAGATATATCTTAAAATAGTGTGGAACAAAAAAGAATCAATAAAATTTATATCATGGTACTATTTTTGTAAATTAAAAATACACTCAACACTGCCTGATTTTTAAATATAAATGTAAAGATTTATAAGAAACATTACACTGATGCCTATGTTTGGGGTGGTGTGAGGTATAGAAAAAACTGGAGATAAGAGGAATGGCACACCCCTGCAATCCCAGCACTCTGGGAGACTGAGGCAGGAGGATCAAATGTTTAATCCCACTTTGGGCAATTTAACATCTTACTAAGACCCTGTCTCAAAACAAAAACATAAAAAAAGGCTGGAGACATAGCTCAGTGCAAAGGTCCTGGGTCTGACCCCAAAAATGAGAAAAGGAACATACGAACCAATGATGATAATGTCCTTGGACCACAGGAATACAACCAACTTTTTAAGCTCAGGGCCTAAATAATGGACAGAAAAAAAAAGTGAGGGAAGAGTTCTATCACACAAAGAACTTTTCAGCTATCTAGCAAATTAAGACTATTACCCCAGCTTAAATTCACTGTCCTTCAAGTGCTGCCTGAGAGCTAAATACACATATAACTATGGTGGCAAAATGAAGAGGTTAAATTGTTGGAGACAGTAGAAGCGCCTTTTTACAATTCCAGTTTGGCTGCCTTTTATGAAAATCTTATCTATTAATTATAAATCAACAAATCAAAGACTTTTTTCAGATAGAACCATTAGAAATAGTATCCTCTTTAAAAGAAAATAGTATCCTCTTGGCCTAATTAAAACTGCTTCAGAACAACTCCTTTTTAATTGGATCTTAATGTATTTATCTTATTGGCTATTAATATTCATTGCTAGACAGTGAGCGCCTCTGACGATGACTTTATAAGTGCCACATAATTATGTCTTCCACTGACAGAATTAACCCTGAGTTGTGCTGTGTTTATGGTTTCTATGATATGTGAAATTCAAACACGTGAAATTTTACAGATGCTCTAATAAAATCATTAGCTGGAAAGTACTCATTCATATAAAGACCAAATGTCTTTAAGAATATAAAAATCACATTAGTGGGCCGGGGATTTAGCTCAGTGGTTTTGCTGCCTGCTGTGCAAGCGCAAGGACCTGAGTTCGATCCCTGGTACCAAAAAAAAAAAAAATCTCATTAGCACTAAAAAAATCTCTGTACTTTTTAGTTTTCTGAAATTAAAGGCATTACAAAACAGAACTTTACATAACTCCACAGCTCACAACTCAGAATAGTACTTTTCTGAGAAATAAATTCTTAAGCAATTTAAAAAATTTTAATCAATTATTACATAATACAAGATTATCTTATGTGGGTCTGCAAAGTTGCCTATATTTTGTTAAAATAAATGAGTCTTCAGGAGTTGATGCAGTAAGCTTGCTACTTCCAGTGGTAATGTATCTTCCCAGTTGTTTTTAGATTCAAGATATCTTTTTCCCATAAATAGATTTACATTTATATGGAGTAGCCTTTGTCTAGAATGAATAGAGAGATAAATGAAATGAAGTCTTAGTTCACTTTGAATGATTACTTAACTTGCTTGATTTTTAGTGGTTCCAATTTTCAGGGGTTTTTTTTGTACTGACATATAAAACTGTATCATAAAGTAACTGTAAAGTGAGAAGAGGAGATTAACATAAATGGTCACTTCTTCTGTTCCTCCTGTGGTTTTTAACTATAAGCTCTAAGTAACATCTGGAATATGTGAACAAACAGCCAGTTCTTTTAAGAATTACTCTGGACAAATGCTTGAGTTTGCAAGTCACCAATGGTTATTAGTCTAAAACCATACAGGAACTGACAGGCCAAATCTTTGAGCTTTACCTATAAATATAAATATAACTATAATACATATTTACTCTTTATGTAATAGTGTATGAAGAAAACTGTTTAGTTCTTTCCCTGTCTTTTACTGTTTAGGAAAATCACAACAGATTTCTATAGTTTGAAAATATGCAAAGCAATGTACTTTAGTAAACTCTTTCACCCCAATGTAAGGTATCTCCAAATGGAAAATTTGATGTAGATAATTCACCTAATTTATATATGATCCAATTTCTTTAAATGTTTAGAAATGTAAATTATTGTTTTGTAATTAGTCTTTATATTCTAGGAAAAAAAAATTTCCCCAAGCCCAGTGCATCTTGTTCTAGATTTTCAGAGATAAAAAATAATAATAAAAGTAAAAAGTATGAGATTTTTGGGCAGTAGTTTGAAGCCCTTTGTAGCTTATTTTTAACCTACTGATGACAGATGGAAACAATTTTCTTTAAAAACTATCAAGGAAAAATTACCTTTACTTCAGGTTTGTGTTTACAGTCAGTGTTACAGAAAAAGTCGATCGAATCTCTGAAAATATGTGGAATTCTTGGTAGTTGTTAGATGGAAATATAAAACTAGTCTGTTGAATGAGGCAGCCATCTAGTGATGGCAAATAGCACTACAGACATTTTGCAGGACCCATAAATCCTCAGTATCTAAACAAACTCACTTAACCACAAAAAGAGCACTGCCGTCCAAAAGAAAACTAATGCGAGTCATACGTGCAATTGAAATTTTTTCTGATAGCTATATTTTCAAAGTACAATTTCAATATATTTTCATCTAATATATCAATATATTATCTCAACATGTAATCGATGTAAAAATTGTTAGCGAGACATTTTCGTTATTTTCATACTAAGCCTTCGGACTGGCCACTTGTCAGGTGCTCAGGTCCCCGCGGGCAGGACGAAAGGAGAGAACCTGTTAATTGCTTTTCCTTTTCTAAGTTTCTCAGACCCTCTGCCCACTTCTGAAAAGTCTTGCCCCTTCAAATTCTACTGTATTCTAAATAAGCCTTGCTTCCTGGACATTTTGCAAGTGTTAAAGGCACAGAAAGCCGGCCCGAGTTGGAGACGAGGGCCAGAGGGACCTCTCTCTCCGGAGGGCACGGGCGCTCGGCTCCCTCTCCAGGAAGGCGGCCCAGCGTCAGGCCGCCTGTGACCTCACAGTGCCCGGTCTGTGAGACCCCGGGCGTCCAGGGTCTATGGGTCAAACAGTTTCATGGTCACAGAGCAGAGGCAACGTCTTGTCTCATTAACGCAGCCCTCCCGAGTCCTCTGCACCAAGAACGGCGAGGCGTAGAGACAACGAGAGCGTAAGGGAGACCTGCCCCTTTCCTCCCAGGAGCATTAGCGGGGTCTTCCGGTGGACCCCTGGCCCTGCTGATTGGTCGGGGCTGCCGTCACGTGATACAGACGCGCTCTCCCGCGGCTTTCCCCGCCCCCGTCGCCCCCAGCTCTCCACTCCAAGGTAGCGGGGGCGGAGAGCCGGTTTCCTAGGCAACCGCCGCTGGCAGTTGGTACACAGGCCTGGGGTAAGGGAGGACCTGTCTTGGATTGCCCCAGAATCCATTGTCTCTGGATAAGGTGAGCGCTGGTCACCGGGTGTCCGTCAGTCATCCATCATCTGTAGGCAGGCGCCGGGAATCTTGTGGTCAAGGGACCTCCATAATGGTGCAGTGGGTTGTGGCTTTAGAGGCCATCAGCGTCATTTAAGAGGTTGAAGAAAGGAAGGTGGCCACAGTCACCTTTGCAGCCCCTTTAGCATCATTCAGACTGGACTGGGAGAACCAAGCAGTCATGGCCCACGTGATACTGCTCATCTGGAGTAACTAGGATGTTGCTTTGGAACATCGATGATAATTGGTGGATTCTGATCCCTTTACCCCCAAGGAAGGAAATAATTTGATCACATAAGACTTCTACTTTGCGGTAAAGAAATTTACTCTTCTCAGAATGACTCTTTACCAACTCTCATGGCAGACAGAAACATGGTCCTTTATGGTCTGATTATTATTATATTCTTAATGGTCATGTAAAACAAAATTCAAATCATTTAACAGACTTTCAGTGAACAACTAGCATGTGCCAGACATGGTGACAGGTTCGTAGTTCCTGCCCTTAGTGAACATGTAACCTGATAGGTGTGGTGGGTGCTGTATACAAAGACAGGTGCTGGCTTAAACCAGTTTCAAGGAGATGCTTATGATACGACCAGAAAGAAGTAAACTCTTCAGAGAGGACTCTTGATTTAAATCTTTAAAGGTATATGGAGTATACCGAAGAATCAAGGAGAAAAGATACTCTAGAGAGAGAAACAGAATATGCAAAAGTACAGAAACATCCTGGCCAATGCGGAGGGCCAGACCTGTTGTCAGAGCTGGGGGTGTTCTGTGGAGGTTAAGGTTGATGAGCTTGAGAGATGGGCAGGAGTCAGAGCAAGGCGGCCATGAGCACCTTCTAAGTGGAGTAGCATGAGCAGATTTACCTTTCAGAAGGCTGACAGCCACAGGGTATAGAGGGTGGACTGGGGGGAAGCAACAGCAGAGATGACATCAAGTTAAGGTCATGAGATGAGGCCCTGAATCAAGGCAAAGGCTCTTGGAATGGAGAGGAGGAAATTTTATGAGGTATTTGCAGAAGGGTTTAATGAGTGACTGAACTGGAGAAAAGATGGAGGATAATTCCAAGGTTTCTGACTTGGATGATAAGAAAGATGGTGGCATATTTATCAAGAGAAGGGATACACTGAGAGAAGTGTGCTAGAGGGAAGATGCAGTGAGTTCCATTTTAGACATGACATATTGAATTTGAGATATCTGACACACCCAGTTGGAACTTTCTGTGTGGGCAGTTGGATTTGTTGCACAAGAAAGAGGAAGAGGAAGATCAGTAATTTTTCATCAAGAAGAAAACAGTTGATTTGAAATGTAGTTTTCAAATAACAAGTAAAGAGAAGCCAAGGAGAAAAGGTAAATCAAAGACAAAATCTTAAAAAAGAGAGTCATCAGCATTGCCAAATGCCTTATTAAAGTCAAGCTGAGAGCTGAAACATGCCCAGTGTTTGGCAATTAGGCGATTATTTTTGACCTTGTTTTTTAAAAAGCAGCTGTGGTGACTTGAAATATATTCAGATTGAAGTAGGTTGAGGACTGCAAGTGTTGCTAATGATTATATAGATGCTTTTCTGTGAAAGTATCTAAAAAATGGCTATTCATAGAACAGGACAGGAAGAACCTTTTAAATATAGAAAGACCTAATAGTCATATGTGTGTGAAAAGAGACCCTGGAGAAGGAAAGATGGTAATATATGAGAAAGGAAAACTTCACAGAACAATGTTCTGAGACAGAAGAAGTTGGGATCAGTACATAGGAAGAGAAACTCATGGTAGACAAAATGAAGAATACTTCTATTAAAACGGAAGTCAGTTGGGAAAGAAATGCATGGTGCAATCACCTATGCCAGTGAGGACAGCCCGAGATCATCTGGGGAGAGTGGGGAAGGAGGGAAAGGGATAGCAAATGCAAAAAAGGGGGGTGAAAGTATACTCAGCGTATTGCAGAATCCAAGAAAATGATGTGCTGGGAGGACATCAGTGGAAATGGAGACTGGGAGAATGTAAGCTCAGAGAAGTGTTGTAGGGCCAGATCATGTACTATCTCCTAGGTCCTTGTGAGAATTCTGGATTTTTCTTATGAGTGAGATAGAAAGCTATTTGAGGATTCTGAGTGGAAGAGTAACATGAGCTGTGTTAAGTATTGAAAAGGACCCATGTAACAACTTTGCTGAGTAATAGACCATTGGGGCCAGGGGCAGAAGCAAGGAGACCAGTTAAGTTTCCGTTGTAGTAATTGAGAGAGAACAGTGGTTGGAATAGGGTGGTAGTAGTGGGGATAATAAGGGTGGTTAGATGATGGATCTACCTGGATGGAAATGCTTCTCAATCCTTCTTTGCTTCCCATGGGCAACTGTGTCTTTACTTCATTCTTGGACCACACCAGATAACACACCATAGGGTGCAAGGGAACACTTGGTAAGGAACAACCTAAAAGAATTTCAGTGTCCATCAAAGGCCCACATACAATGCAGGGCCTAATGTTCTCTGCCTGGGTTTATTTGCTTGGTACAGAAAGTAAAGGAAGGTTCTGTAGTTCCACCACTCGCAAGAAGAAAAGCCCATATATTTTGGTTTAATGTCTATGAGCCTTAAAGAAAAGACTGGCTGCCCACTGGCATGCAAGGGGCAAAGCCTGCCTTAAAACCTCCAACCCATCAAATAGAGGTTGGAGAAATCTAACTGTATCCATGACATCTACTCCGGAAGGAATTGAACTGTTTCCTTCATTATGCACCAAGTGACCACATGTACTTGGGCCCAATTTTGAGTTTTCTAATCTGTGCTCCTCCTTAACTCTCTACTTCTCTATCTCTATCATCTTATTTTAATTAATGTTATTTATACTGTAAATTTCCACCCATGATTTTTTGGAAGCTTCATGGTTACCTTTTAGTCCTTATTTTTATTTAGTTTTTAAAATTCAGTTGGTGTTCTGTTTGAGATAGCATTACAAATCCACTTTTACAGAGTCAAATCTTCCTTAAAAACAAGGTATAGCTCTTTATTTAATCAAGAAGATTATATTTTCTTGATACAGAAATACGCAGTTACCTCTCATTTCACCTTTTTCTTCTTCAGTGCCCTCAATTAGGAAAAAAAGCTTATCCAAATTCAGTAATAAATTGCTAAAACAAAATGTCCTTTTAAAACCCCAACCCTAAAATTTGCATGACTACATCTGAACTGTACGGAGCCTGGAACTTTCTGATACTTACAAGCCTCCTTATGCTTTCTCCCATCACTAATGGACTCAGGACTTGCAGATGAAGCTTCAGACCCTATCAAGAGGTGAATGTCCTGTTGGCCAGCTTGGCCATTCTTTTGCATTTGGGGAAGGCTCTTTTTAGGGCTGCTCATCTAAGAGGCTCAAGGTCTTCTCTAGTTCTCCAAGGGAACCAGGAGCCATCCGGCTTCTACAGCTTTCACCTTTCAAAGCACAAATCTTAGATTGATCCAGTCACCTTTCTTCTCCACTTTGATTGCTGCTAGAAAATTTTACCTAACTAGTGTGGAGTTGAAGGGACCACAAATGCATGGGTCTCTTACTGCAGTTGGATCTTTAGCAACACATATATTTTCCTCATCAACTTCTTTTCATAGAAAAGTAAGACTAGAGACAAAGATCTGGAATTCGCAAGGCGTGGGCTATTCTGGATGTTCACCATTCTCTCAAGGCCTGCCTGCCTGTCTGCCTCTCGTCTCAATGTCTCTCGCGCGCTCTCGCTCCCTTTTTCCTTCTCTTTCTCTGTCCGATACCATCTGTATCACTTCAAAAAGGTCTTTCTCAGTATTCCTGGAAATTGATGCACTTACCCTAGGATAGCTAAACATTTGTCTTATTTCCATATTTCTGTAGTCGTTCTAGTAAGACTTGGGAAGGGAAGGGAAGCACAAGACGCTAGTCGCTGCCTATTTTTCTTAAAATTTTAAGTTATCTATGTACCTGTCTGTACATATACATAGTTTTGCATAACTGAATAAAACTGAGCGTTTAAGTGCTTTTAAAATAAGAATTTAAATGTAAATTTATTAAACTATAACATGAAAAATCACACAAATCTTAGGTATGTAATTTTATTTTCTCAAAGTGAATATACCCTTTGAACCGGCACCCAAATAAAAAAATATCTTTATCAGCATTCCAGAGGCCCCTCTTTGCTTCCTGCTAGTCACTCAACCCTGAAAGATCACTGCTATCCTGACTTGTGTTACCATAGGTTAGTTTGTTTTCAAATTTTATATGAACTGAGATATATGTTACATACTCATATGTGTGTCTTCTTTTAACATTGTATTTGTGAGAGTCATAAATGCTTATAACAATAGTTATTTCTTTGTCATTCCCTTCCTAGGTGTAAACCCTAAAGGTGTGTAGCTCTGTCCTATATGACAAAATGTTCAGAGAATCACTCACTTAGCTCCCAAAAGGAAACAGTCCAAATATGTACCAAATAGTAGAATGAATAAATGGTTATGTGTTCATATTTTACAATGCCAAACATGCTTGTTAAAAAGTATAATTTTTTCTTTTCAATTTTTTCAGAATTCTCTCTAGTGTTTTCATTCTATACCAGCTTTCATCTGCATTCAAGATAACTCATACAAAAAAACCCCTTGGTATGTATATTTCCATATTTTCTTCCTGCATAACCACATACACAATATACACACATAGATACACACACACACACACACACACACACACCTGTGGGAGAGTTGTAAAGAGTGGAATTATAATGTACTTAGTTTTAAATACTTCATTTTGTCAAATGATCATGTCAGGAAAAGATTCCTGTATTTTCAGATAGAGAATGTCTATAAATATATAATGAAAATATTAAAATTATGAAAATTGGGTTAATTTTATTGAATCCAAGAATGAATTGGGTTATCACGTGTAATGAAGGAGAAATTAGTGAATTTCTCTTGATAAATATTTATTACTATGCCAGGTAAGCTGCTAAGCTCTAAGGACCTTCTTTTTGCCTCTGATTACACTAAGAAATCTGTTCCGTTTGGAGGCTATTCAAAGGAGACAAACAGGAATATCTAGTGAGGGAACTAAAGAAACTGGAACTAGGAGCAAGGTAAGTGTGATAATGAGAAATGACTACTTTCTTCAAGTATTGAAGCCTCATTGTACAGAAGGAAAATTATATTTGTTGTACTTGAACCAAGGAGGTAGAATGACAAACAAAGGGTGGAAGTTATAGAGAGACAGAATTACTTTCAGAATTAAAAGAACTAACAGAAAACTGAAGAAATGGAATGATTCTCAGAATTCAGAAAAATAGCTGGTGATGTGCTATGTGTAGATTTCAAGCCACAGTAGGTAGTTCAACCTAAGTAGCTCTAAGGACCCTTTCAAGTTGGAATAACAAGGCTCTAGTATTTATTTAAATTTTTCATTTTTTCTTAAACAGATATATTATTATGACCACTGGTTTTTAGAAGATGACTGAAAGTGAAATCCTAAACCAAGAAGAAATAATTAAAGAACTGGTGAGTCAAAGTCAAATTTCTTTTCAATAACATTTGCAAGGATATTACATGAAACATTTTTATGTTCCTTTCTGGGGCTAGAAGGATATTTCTTTTGCCCCGAGCCTTTTAGGAATACAAATTATATATGTGGTGCAACTTTCTTTTTTGTTGGAGTACAAAAATAGCATCAATGTAAAGGACTATCTATAATTTCTAAGGACAAATGTCTTCTTTTTATTATCTGAAGTAGATAAAAATTCAATTTCTTTCATTTAAAACAGTGTTTGTGCAATGGGTTATCTTATGAGATGGTTGGACAAGAAGGATCAGATGCTTCAAAACTGGAGATGTTTTTTTCAGGATATCCCCATATAGTTGGATTATCATTATTTCCTAACTTAGCAAGTCTTACAATTGTTGCTCAAGACATAAAAGAAATTTCAGGATTCGAGACTTGTTTACAGCTTAAAGAACTTTGGATTGCTGAGTGCTTCATAGAAGTAAGTTTAAACATATACTCTTAAATGGAGTATCTTTTCCAGAATTCTTGACTTTGGAAAAATAATTTATTGAAATATATGCATGTGGCATGGATCAAAATAAATCAGTGGGCAAAAATATGTTAGTTAGCACAAAGGAAAAAGCAGAAATAAGGAATCAAAGCAAACACATTCTACTTTTTAGTAATTAAATCAAATCAAATCATAGCCACTATTGCTTAGTAGTAAAATTGGTTCACATAGACACTATTGGTCAGATATCTGTTTTGAGCAGCAATATTGTGGAATATTTAAGAGCCACAGAAATGTACATACCCTTTGACACAGAAATCCTTATTCAAAGAGTTTATCATAGAAAGTAATTCAACAGCAGAAAGCAACTATATAGAAGCTAATTGTTATGGTATTATTTATGATAGCCAAAAATTTTAAATGTAAATATTTCACACATAGTATAATTTTAAAGTAAATTAAAAGCTTTATGAAATATTTGTAATTATTAAGTATTAAAATGTGAAAGGTTATAAAAATATTATAGATAGCCTTAAGTTTAAAAAAATCCACAAAATTGTGTGTGTTATGATTATAACCATATAAAATAGACGTGATTAAAATTTAAAGAAAATATGCAAAATTAAATATAGTTTATTTCAGTGGAGGGATTATATATTCCTTCTAAAAATATTAGGTTATTTTGTTGGATATTGATTTTACAATGAAATATAATATGTAAAGGGAAATGTGCATAGAAACAACATTATTAGAAGGATTAGTGACAAAATACAAGCTAACACTATTAAATCTCTTCTATTAAAATAGAAAATTGGAGGTCTTCAAGAATGTAGAAATTTGAAAAAACTATATTTATATTATAATAAAATTTCCAAAATTGAAAATTTGGAGAAATTAACCCAATTGGAGGTTCTTTGGTTGAACCACAATACTATTAAAAATATTGAGGTAAGATAATTTCAGTGATTTGTATGTAAAGCTAGTTACTACTGTGGAGTTTAAATCACATAGTTTGGTTAAAAGGCCAGAATATTTGTGACTAGTTATTATTATTGCCAAAAAAACTTAACACCTATATAGCATTTTATCATGTACAGAGATTTTCGTACACACCATCTTTACTTCTCACAAGCCTAAGAGGGAAGATGTTGTTATTCCTTCTTCGAAGCTTTTTTATAAAAGAGGTTCAGAGATATTAAGCAACTTGCCAGAGATCATAAACATCTGTGTGATATGCTCTTCTCCCACCCATTCCTCTTCTTCTCTCCACTCCCGTTCCTGTTACCTCCTTCCATAACGGGAAGTTCCAGTTTGGAGAAACAAAGCTAGCTTCACTGAGGTACACATCGCCCCCTGTGCTTGTGAGGCACATGACACTCATGCTCACAGCCCCTCAAGAACTAACTAGATTGAGCTGAAATGTTAGGTAAATATATATTTTATTTGCTCTTGTCTAAATTACACATTGTCTAAATTTTTAGGGCTTACAGACTTTGAAGAATTTAAATGATCTCAACCTTGCAGGAAATCTGATAAGCAGCATTGGTATGTATTGTTTCATTTGAAATCTGAGATAATGCTACAATCATTTTTATCAGTATAAAAATACATACTTAGATTTCTTTAATTTAGATTATTTTTATGTCTTCATTGCAAAGCATTTCTAAACCTATGATGGGATGTGAAGATATCCATTCAGCAGTGGTTAGTAATTATACAGTGGCACCATTACTCTTGTTTATATGCAGAAAATGACCATATATAACTCAGAATTATTATAGGATATGAACAAGAGGTAAAACAAGGAATTTGATATTTCCTTTATCTTGTTTTTAAAATTAAAGGTCGATGTCTTGACGCCAACGAACAACTAGAAAGATTAAACCTTTCTGGTAATCAAATATGTTCTTTCAAGGTATGTTTAAGTGGAATATTCATTTTTATTTATCAGTGTGAATCATGAACTATCTTACTAAAGACGTAGTCCCCTTTTTAGGAAAAATTTCATTATTTTGGCTACTTTATACTTCAGAAAATTTGAGTTTGCTAACTAATATAGCCTTAATGATATTTCACTACTAAAACCAAGCAAATAAATATTTAGTAGGGTGTCATTTTCTCTTAATTTTCTTCCCATCTTTCTGGCTACATCTCTTAAGTTTTTAGAATTTCTACTAGCATCTGAAAACTGTACTACCCCTAATCAATCCTGAAATTTTTTCTCATTTCTACCTGCATTTTCATTTTTAATTCTCTAAATTAATCTTGTCATGTTACATGACTTTTATCTACCTTTTATCTACTGATTTCTCCCAACTTGGTACCTATACTTTCCCTGACAGCTCTGCACAGTCATAGACATCGCCTACCCTACCTCAGGCTGATTTTGCCTCCACTAAACCTTCTTCTTTTGCAGCCTTCCCCACTTCTCTAAACGACATTTCCATTCTTCCAGTAACTTCAGCCAAAATCTTTATAATTGTGTTTGACTCCTCTTATCCCTTTATATCCCAGATCCAATCCATCAGCAAATACTGTTGGCTCTCCTTTCACAATAGGTCCAGTCTGCCCATTTTCTGCACCTGTATCCCTACCAACCTGGTTCCATTGTTGAGGGGAAAAAAATCTCCCCATTAACTCTCCCTCTTTTTTTTCTGCTCTTTCAATCTGTTCTTCACACAGCAGCCTGATGGGACCTTTAAAATATGTCAGATCACGTCATTCTTCTATTCATCTTTGCTCTTTCACAGTACAAGATACTTCTTATAATGGTTCCTGAAACTCTACATAATCTTACCCTTTCTGTCCACTGTGTCTGTGACCACAGCTTCTAAACCTCTTTTGTTTATTCTATTCCAGCCACAATAATCTTGCCATTCCCCAAATATACCTAACACATTCTCCACTTTGGCCATTGCACTTGCTGGAATATTCTTCTATCCTGCATGGCTCATTCACCATTTTCCTTGGATCTTAAATTATTCTAGATTTTTTTATTAGTACATGTTTTCAGTAGAGAAGAGTGATGTTCATTTTGGGGACTTGATACATGCATTATAACATATCTTGCTCATTTTCAATCCTTTTACCTCCTTATCTCTTCCCTCCCCCACCCCCTGATTCTTTTCTTCACCTTCAAGAGTTTGCTTTCTAGTTTACTGTCTAGACTTATATCTTTAACTTTTCCTCCCACCCTAAAAAGATACTATGCTAGTAGTGATGGAAAAACTTCTGTGCCTACTTTGCATCCATACCAGGCACCACACTAATTTTCAGTGAGATTTTTTGTCTTCATGGACTCCAGTGTCACCTGAATTTTCAATGTAAGTGGGGACTTTTGTGTAAGACTTCTGGGTTCATACCCTTATCTCCTAGTCCAGACTGATGGTCAAGTGCATCATAGCCACCCAGTGATTAAAAGATACCATTATTCCTTAGGACAATTAGATGGTTTACCTTCCTTACCCTTACAGAAATTGACCAAATAATTCTCTGCATATCTCTCTCCAAAATTCTCCCTTTTGGAGCAAATTATACTTAGTCCTACCCTAACTGTAGGTCCATTCCTATCTTTGGATCACACCAGTGAGCTATATCCTCACTTGTTCAGATTGAGTTTGGATATACACTGGCAATTTGACCCTGTCCTACTCTTAATTCTAGCAACTTGACTCCACCCTCTCTTTCCCATTCTATTTGTACTTTATTATAGTACTTATGACTCCTGGTTCTTCCTTTGAATTTCCCATAGGTCTGACTCTGATTTTACTAAATAGCATTGCATATTTTCAAGTTCAACAGAGCCATAGTATCCTCCTATACAAGGCAACATCCTAATAATAAGGAACGTACAAGGATGTCTTAGAGATTGTTAGAAAACTAATAACCACTCAGTTCACATATTTATTTGCAGTTTACTGTGTTCTAAGTGATGAATATTTGGAATATAACGTTAAACAAACACAAACCCTGCATTCAAGGAGTTTGTCTCAATCGTTTTCCAACTGCTTTTATAGAACTACAGATAGAAAATATTTAGGCTTTCTATGTCACAGATGGATTCCAGTGCTTATTATGTCTTTATTTTTTTATAATACTTTCAGAATACAAATACTGTTCTTAGCCTATGCACTGAGGGCCAAACCCCATATAGATCCTTGACATCTAACTTGTTGGGTGCACAAGCAATTAATAATAAGGAGTGTGACTAAGAGAACTTGGAGGAGAATCTTCTCAGACCTTATGGGAGAAAACAAGGCTTCCAAGAAAATGACACCTGTGTTGGGTCCTGACAGATTAAGGTGTGAAAGTGGAAGACAGTTCAATTGACTCAAAGGGACCAGGAGGCATGAAGGTGTAAAGACAAAATAGGCTCTATCTGACACATTCTGAAACTTCAGTAGTTCATATGGCCAAAACATAAAATGTGAGGCCTTTTTTTTTCATACTGGAGATTGAATCCAGGGCCTTTGCACTGAGCTGCATCCCTGGACTTTTTTTTAAATTTTTAAGTAAAGTTCTCACTAAGTATCTCAGTTGCCCAGGATGGGCTGAAACTTACTATCTTCCTGCCTCAGCCTCTCAGAGTGCTGGGATTATAGCCATGCACCACCAAATATTAGGGATTAAACAGGAAGGAGCAAGACTATAAAGAGTTAAGCAAGGGCCAGGTGACACATGCAGGAAAGTATAAACAGTGACTTAAAGATCAGGATGAAAGATGTTAAAGAGTGCATAATCAACCTCTCCCCATCACAGGTGGTGAGGAAAATGAGGCCTTCAAAGAAAGCTAGATTGTAGTTGACCATAATAGGTAGAAAGACACTTATGGAAAATACAAAACAAACCAACAAGAAAACAATGAAAAGTCAGGAATCTCATAACAGTTGTAATAGAATGGATCCTCTTGCCTTGACAAGTATCTTGGAGACAGGGAAGGTGGAGAACAATGTTTCGAGGTGATAAGCATAACAGAATGAAGTGAAAGAAGCAGAGACCTACAGGTGCCCAGGGGGCAGTTGTTAGTTGTTAGCAGAAGGGCATGCACAGAGGCAGCATCATTGCCTGAATGCATCAGTGTGTTCACGTGATGACTCCAAGTTCCAACTGGAATGTATGGTTTAGTATATATATAAAACGTATAGCTATATAGAATGTGATATTTAATTATTGTTTATCTTTCTTTAGGAATTTAATATGCTTTTTACTAGAAAGAAACATTGTACCATCTAGATTAATGTGTTTAAGTATGTAATTAGAATGTATTACATTAGACCATGGGTGATCTTAAGTGTTCAAATGTCTCCTCTAGAGATGGACATTCACAGTTAATTGAACATTGTCATTGCTGTTGTTTTAGGACCTCACTAACTTAACCGGGCTGCCTTCCTTAAAAGATTTGTGTTTGAATGATCCTCAGTATAAAGCCAATCCGGTCTGTCAGCTGTGTAACTATTCCACACATGTATTATATCATTTGCCTTGCCTTCAGAGATTGGACACTTTTGATGTGTCCGCGAAGCAAATCAAGGAACTAGCAGATGTAAGTGTACTCCTAATCAGGTATCTGTGGCTTCAGTTTGGTTAATTAAGTACTTCGTTCTGTCCACATATGGTAGGTTGGATTATCCAGTCAGTTCTTGTCTCCAATTTTACTTTTGCCCAGTGAGCAGGATATTTCACATAAAAAATACAAATAATAATGTTACTATAGAGTTTGCTGATAATACTGGAAAGTGAAATAATTGAAATTGAGTTTATATTGTTTGTCACCTATACAAAACTAAAAGAAGGAAATCTTAAAAATTGTCAAAGTGAGGACTAACGAAACTAGTGCTACATATACAAAAATGAAAGCTTCTTCTGCCTCGCAAGCACAGGGTCCTGAGTTCAATCCCTGGTACCCCAAAAAAGTAAATAAATTTAAAAAATGAAAGCTTAAATAAAGGTAGAAATGTAGCAAATAACCACATTTCCTCTTGAGTGTTATGTATCAAAATTAGAAAATATCCATGGTTGATGGTAGTATGTCAATAATTAGGTAGATTTTAATCTAATTAAAGATGGTTGGAAATCCCCAGGAAGTGTAATGGATCTCCCTCCACACACTGCCAGGACATCTCTGAAATTTTGAAGAGAGTGTGGCTCTTGGGTTTCCAATGCCAGTGACCTTCCAGTAAGGGGGCTGCTTTTTCATGTCTCCAAGGAAACTGCAATTTCAAAATGGAGTTCATGGGATTTCTCCAAGCTTTTTAATAGTTCCTTCTGTATTATATTTCTACCTCTCCTTTCCAGTCCAGTGTCACTCCCCTTGCTCCTCCATTTGTTCATTCAGATAATCATCCAGTAAATAGTTTTTGAGTATCTAGAATGTGCCAAGAACACATGCAGACCTTCCTGCCTTTTTTCCTTGTGGCTCATCCATCATCTCAACATAGTTAAGGAATAACTTTATCCATTTGTCTTAACTTGTCTTCTCTTGCTAGCTCAAGGATTTATTCTTAAATTTTCTTCTCTTCACTCTTTTCTAAGGTTGAGATTATTCTCTTTTTCATCCTTAATATAAGAAACAAATTATGTTTCAATACCAACTAATCAAAGGGTTAGTGCTCTTGCCTACTAGCAGATGTTCAGAGTCATTGGATGTCCAGGAAAGAATGTCTTCTCCAACAATGCTAAATGAAAATTAACAGCACAACTTGTAGAGAACAGGGAAAGGGGATGTTACTAGAACCTCTGCAGTAAGTCCTAGTCTCCTGTGAGCCACAGCAGCACAAGGCGAATTAACTTATTATACAGGAAAGGTAGAAAAATGAGACTTTGAGAAGAAGCTGAGCTTTGGGTCTGATCAGTGCTGCTCTGGGCGGCAAAGACGACAGCCCCCAGCTTACCACACCTTTTATTAAGTACATCGGGAGAAACAGATGTAACAGATAACTTGCAGAGAGTTCAGTACATCCAGATAAACAAGGTGTAACAATCCAAGAACAATGAGGAACTGAGTAGATGAAGATTTTATTCCTCCCGGATGTCTTCAGCTGGTGTAATCTTGTCCTGGAGCATCACAGCATCTCCGGATCATTGAGGTATCAGTTGTGACTGGGAGCCAAAATGGAATTATGTCTCAAAATGCCATAGGTGGCCTGTAGGCAGGAGATCTAGGCCTAATCAAATGATTTTTCCCTAAAATTATGTAGCATTGCTCCTGAAAACAACTTCACATTAGTAGTTATATTTTTTAAATTTCTGTATCCTCTCTGTAGTTTTATGTCTAGCAAAGATTCTGCAAAGTGAACACAGGGAACATGCCCCAAGAAATTAGTTGACCAACTCATTCATCAACCCAGTTTGGTGAAACTTTTAGATACAAGTACCCAATTTCTGCTTTCTTGAAGTTTTTTTTTTCCTGAGGGGGGCACCTAATATGCAGCTGGGTGAATAAACAGCTAGCATGTGAGGTGATGATAAATGCTGTGGAGAAAGTAAAATAAGGGAGAGAGAAAGGGTATGGTTGGTAGGGACAGAGGAAGGGATGTTGCTGTTTTATACAGAATGGTTAGGAACAGATTTGCTGATGGATCAACATTTGCACAGAAATCAAAGGAAGTGAGGAACAAGCCATTCGAACATCTGGAGAAAGAGATTTTTTAGTCCCTGAGGCAGGGACATGCCTCTACATATTTGAAGAACAACAAAGAGGAAAGTATGGGGGCCGGAGATTTAGCTCAGTGGTTCTGCCTGCCTTGCAAGTGCAAGGTCCTGAGTTCGATCCCTGGCACCAAAAAAAAAGAAAGAGGGAAGTATGGCTGGAATTGAGTATGTGATGGAAAGAGAAGTAAGAGATGATGACAGGAATGATGGGGACAGATCATATGAGAATCTGTAGAATTCTGTAAGTCCTTTGGCTTTTACTTTGAGTAAGATGGGAGCTATTGGAAATTTTTGAGCAGAGGAGAAACAAAATGACATACTTTTAAAAGGAATTATTTTAGATAATGAATTCAGAATAGATACTTAGGAGATTACTCCAGTAATTCAGATAAGACATGTGGATGTTTTGATACAAGGTGTTAATATAGAAAGAGGTAAGAAGTAGTCAAATTCTGGTGGTAGTTACAAGGTGGAACCAATCTGGATTGGCTAATGAATTGGATATGAGGTACAAAACAAAGAACTAGAAAATACAGTGGTGCCACGGTTCACAAATTTAATTTGTTCTATGATTTTGGGAAAGGTGGCCATGTTTGTGTTTGTATAGGAAAGATGGCCACAGTCATGTTTGTCATGTTTGCACACAAAAAACACAATTTTGCCATACACTTCTGTTTGTGAACCAAATTGTTTGCAAACAAAAGCATTCATGTATCAAGGTACCACTGTAATTCGAAATTATTAGCTTGAGCAATTAAAAGAGTAATTTATTTGATGAGATAGAGAGAGAGTAGGTTTAGAAGGAAGAATCACATTTAACCTTAGGCAAAGTTTGAATGCTCTTTGAACATTTATTGGGGGTCATAATCAGTGAGTGATTGGGTATGTGAGTCTGGTGTTTAAGAGAGTTTCTCAGGGTGGAGATATAAATAGGAGAATTGCAGACAGAAAGATACTACTTAAAGCCATGGACTTGGTGAACCAGAAGGGAGTGGTGTGGATGGGTAGTGTGTCACTTGGGTGTTAAAGGTTGGGGAGAAGAGGAAGAGAAACCTGAAGAAGAGACCAAGAAGAACTAACAGGTAGCATCTTCTGACATTCTGTCCTTCAGTCTTGTTGCCTTAGTCACTTTCTCATCACTGAAACAGAATACTCAATACCCACAATATAAAGAAGGAGAAGTTTATTTTGGCACACAGTTTTAGAGATCTCATTTCATGCATGGTCAGCTATCTCAAATTAAAGTGCATAATGGAAAAGCCTGGTGGAGGAAAGCTGCTCCACTTGGCAACCAGGAAGAAGAAGGAGATGAGAAAGAGGAAGAGGAGAAGAACAGAGGAGGGGGGGTGGGGAGGGGAGGAGATGAGACATCAGAGAGGGAGATATACATTTCCAAGTCATTCCTTTAGTGACCTGATTCCAATCAGGCCCTACCTCATAATAGCACTTTTAACTTATGCAGATATCCCACTTGGTCCAGTCATCATCCAAATATATGAGGCTTTTGAGGCATACTTCAGATCTAAACCATAACCTTCTGCCCCTAGCCCCCAAAAGACTCATGTGCATCTCTTTGTGCAAAATTCCTTTAGTTCATTTCTAAGACTTGCCAAAGTTTTCTTAGTTCCAGCGCTGCTGAAAAGTCCAAGTCCAAAGTCTCCCCTGAAACTCAAGGCAACCTCTTATCTGGGAGCCCCTGTAAAAATCATAGAGGCAAACATTTCCAACATACAGTGGCACTAGATATACATTTCCATTCCAAAACAGAGAAATAGGGGGATAGAAAGGAATTTCACCAAAGGAAAACCAAAACCAAGCAGGACAGTTGCTAAATCCTGTAGCTCCTTGTCTAGAACCTAGAGCAATTTGTAGCAAGATGTCAGCCCCAAAGGGTTTGGATGGCTCTATACCTATGGCATTGCTGGGTGCAGGCCTCATGGGTTCTCTCTTGAACAGGCTCTACTCAGTGCCTGCAGCTTTCTCCAGATAATCCATGTTCCTGACTTCTCCAACTTGCTGGGGTCTCCACTGCACTTTCAGCTTTAGTATTATATCCTTACACACTGCACTCTCAGGAGCACTGCCTTGCCTCCTAGGCCTTCTGAAATGTGGCTGGAAGCCTTCCTGATCCCACAACTCTTGCATTCTGCATGCCTATAAATCTAGCAGCATGTGGATGATGCCAAGGCCTGATACCACCAGATTAAGCAGTAGCCAAGCCCTCTTGGATCATGACTTCAGAGGCTTCTAAGTGCATGGATGGCTGAGCACTGTGAAGGAAATCCCTGGGAACCAATCCTATAGGTAGTCCCTCTCAAGCAAAATTCCCTGAGCCTCTCTTCTCAGTCTTTCAAAGGAGTTTACCCTTTTAAACCCTTGAGCTTTCAAAGGGTGGGGTCTTGCTAATTCCTGAGATGGAGATGCCCTCTAAGCATCTTTCCCATGGTCCAGATGTAAAGTACTTGGGTTCTTTTAAATGCTAATCTTTTTAGCAAAGAAGCTGTCCAAGGACCCAACTTTGTTGCTTCCTTTCTGGGGAAATTACAAACTTTTCAAGATATTTAGCTCTGTTGTTTGCCTCTGATTTTCTCTGTAAATCTGGTTAAAAGCTGCCAGTTGTACCCATATGACAGCCTGAAAGCTGGGCTGCCTTGAAAATTCCTCTGCCCTGATTAGTCTACCACCCTTAATCTCAGTCTTCCACAAAGGCTCAAGATATGGGCAAAATGTGGACAAATATTCTTCCAGAGCATAACACATATGGCCTCTAGCCCAACTCTCAATGGATTCTTTGTTTGCAGTTGAAACCTTCTGTAACTGGCCTTTACCATCCACATTTCTCTGAGTATTCTGGTCTTCTGAGCTCCAAGTAGAATCTCCCATTAAGCTTGGCTTATATCACTCTCAGGCTTCCGTAGCTTGCATCTCCAAAACTTTTCAAATGCCTCCTACAAGCCAGTTCCAAAGGCTTCTGAACCACATGGTCAGGTTTAGTCACAGCATCAACCTTACTTCTTTGGTACCAAAATCTGTCTTAATCACTTACTTCATTGCTGAGATAAAATACCCTTCACCTGCAACTTAAAGAATGGGTTTCAGAGGTCTTAATCCATGCATGGTTGGTGAGCTGTAAGGGAAAAAGCATGGTAGAAGAGCCTGGCAGAGGAAAGCTGATCACGTCATGGCAACTCAGGCAGAGATAGCTAAGAGAGGAGCCAGGGAGGAAGATACACAGTTTTAGGTCATGCAACCAGTGACCCAACTCCAACCAGGTTCCCCCTCCTAACAGCACGTTAAGCACATTCAGTGTAGTTCTTCCATGAGCCAATCACCATCCAAACACATGAGGCTTTTGGAGCACACTCCAGATCTAAACCATAACACTTATTTGGTTAGGAGTAATATAAATAACAAGGAATTGTTACACAGTTTATGACATCTTAAATTATATCATCATGTTCAGAAAACAATTTTTCCAAAACAAGTTTAAACAAGTTTTTGTCTTATGTTATTAATATCTATTTTTGTGAGAGGAATTTAGTAATTTCAGTTTCAGAAATTCCTAATATTTGTGGATAAAGGAGTTCTTTTGGCCTGCTCACATACCATGTATTTTGTTTTTTGGGGGGTTTTTTGGTACTGGGGATTGAACTCAGGACCTTGCACTTGCCAGGCAGATGTGGTGCCACTGAGCTAAATCCCTGGCACCACCATGTATTTATTTTATTCTGTCTTTTATGCCAATGATTCTGTTGGAATCTAAGTTATATACACTGGCACCTCAGTTCACAAATGCTTTTATTTGTGTACAATTTGGTTCACAAACAGAAGTACTTGACAAAATTTTGTTTTTGTTTGTGAACCCTGCGTTGGGTAATGTACATAAGTGTGGCCATCTTTTTTGCATGAACACCAGTGTGGCCATTTTCTCCAGAATTGTGGAATGAATTAAATTTGTGAACCAAGGTACCACTGTGCTATGTTTATACTACATAAATTGCATAAAAGAGCCTGTAGATATAGAAATGAAAGCTTATACATTTTAAACACATATTTTCTATATTTCTTTGAGATACAGATTTCTTGATAAAGAGAAACATTCATTATTTCAGGTAAATAGCTAAAAACCAGGTCGTATTTTTGTAGCATGTCTGATTATTTTATACTGTCCTCAGTCTTTTTTGATTAATACAACTGTCAAGCACCACTTAGGTAGCATATTTCAAAAGGGTGGATGTAATCAACTTACCATGATCAACTTATTAATGGATGATCCACTGTTATTAAGAAATTTAAGATAACTGAATTAGATTGACAATTTAGTAATTTACTCAGCCTAAAACAAGTTCATTTAGAGAATCCTTTTATAGATTTGGGAAAAAACCCCTACTTCTTAGCCATGCTTTTAAAATATGAATTGAATATTGTTACATTTGCTCCTAATTCTTTTTTGTTTCTTTATTTTTCCTTAAATTAGCCAAATTGGAATAATTGTAGCTATATATATTTTTAGTAGTACTGTCTCACTAGCTAAATGCTACTGTTTTATAAATTCTGTCCTTAATGTCTTCATGCTGTCTCCTGGAAAGAAATGTGAATATGTCACACATATAAATATTATTCAGAAAGAACATCTTTGAAATTGTATGGTTTGCATATTAAATTTAAGTAGAGAACTCTGTGAGCCATGGTTCCTCCAGCTGTTATCATTATTTGTAACTGAGTTAGAAAAACTTGCCATCAGGATGTAGAACATGTTGTCCTCAGATAATACCAGTTGTAATGACCTATGCTTACTTTTACCTAATCTTTTGTTGTTTTATTTCTTACTTTTAGACCACAGTAATGAAAAAAATAATGTATTACAATATGCGTATAAAAACTGTTCAGAGACATCTTAATGAAGACCTTGAAAAATTAAATGTTAGAAAATGCAAATTACAAAAGTTGCCAGAAGAACAAATAAAGTTACTCAGCTTTGTGAAAAAAAATGTAAGATTTAATAATGTAAAATTTCAGTCATTATATCTTTAAAAAAACTGTCAGATAAGGTAGCAAAGTCTTTTAAAGTTTATATAAGTATATAATTAATACTGAATATCAGTTCGTTTGCCCTAAAAAATGTTTTGATTCCAGGTATTTAAGCTGCATTCTGTGAAATTCTCAATTCAAAACCAGTATCGCCTTACGTACTTGTGAAATTTTTACATAGCTGTGAGATTCATTGTGACTAAGAGAGTGACAGAGATCTGTTGTACATACTTCAGTTGCATTTTTATTAGACACCAGCAGGCTGTGCTCAAAATGCATTTTCTTGTTTAAAGTGTTAAAATATCCCTTTACTAATACTGTTAAAGAGATACAACAAAGTAGGAACTTTTTATTTCAAAGTAGGCACTTTGAGTCAGGGTATACTTCAGTAGTATATGCTCTTTATTTAGAATAAGTTGGATTTCTCTTATTAAAAGCAGACACTGAAAATTAAGTAGTATTTTCCTCAAAACAATCCCTTGTGTACCTAAAGCTTTATTTTTAAAAAGTATGAAGAAACAAGGGATTATTCAGTAAATTGCTTTTAAGAAAATAGCCAAATGATTTAGGAGTAGGGGAGTTTAGTCCTCAGTTTACACTATACAAAAATTAAATACCAGTGGGTGGAAAAGAATTAAATGTGCAAAATAAAAACATAAAAAATTAAAGAATAAACATGCATAAATATATTTGACTGATCTGTTTGTGACATAAAATAAGTCCTAGAAATTACAAAGGAACAAGATACAGATTTAATCTCAAAAAAGTTAAATGATTTTGTACTAAAAGTATTATTAATAAAAGTTAACAATAGATGACAATCTGAAAAAAAAGATTTTCAACAAAAATGAGAGACTACTGATTTTTACCCTTAGTATGATACGTGCTAGTACTTCTAAATGATGCAAGATGAAAAGTAAATATCCAAATAGCAAAAGGGAGCGAAGTACATAAACACTTTGAGAGGGAGAGAGGTGGGGGGAATAATGACCGATGAGCACGTGAAGGAGCAGCTCAGTTATCAGCTATCAAAGCACAGAGGCAAGGCAGTGCCCAGGTGGGGAAGTGAGGCTTGAGGGTGCTCATGTCCCTTGGCTTAGTGAATCGAGGCCTAGCACTCTACCCTCTGGCTGTTCACCACTGCGCTATCAGTGATTCGCTTCTGACACTCCGTTCGAAGCTTACTCACCACTGCACCATTAATAACAAGACAAAAAATGGAACTACCTAAATGTTCAGCAAGAGAAGAGCTGTTCACTTTCATGACAGAGCAGTAGATAGTAAAAACCAAGGCTTTGAAATGTATTTAATACTTTTTCAAAATGAGGCTTTAATTATTATAATCAGAAAAACATCAAAGTAAAATTTTAATGAAGTGTAAGTTATTTGAATAAAAACCACAAGAGACCAGTACATGAAAGGCATTTTATGTTTGCCATTTCCATATGTAAGTGCAAGTACAGGTTGAGTATCTCTTCTCTGAAATATTTGGCACCAAAAATGCTTCTGATTTTAGAATTTTTCAGATTTTTGGAATATTTGTAAATTAATTGGATAATCATTCCTTATCTGAAACCTGAAATGTATAAAAAAGTTTTGGATTGTGGAGCATTTCCTATCTTGGATTTTCAGATTAAGGATGCTCACCTTACATTAAATAAAATCTCCAAATGTGAAAAATAAAAGTCATAGATTATGTAAACTATAAACATTTTTAATACATAGGCTTAATTTTTTAAAACAAATGTTGCCCTACATAGACATTTTACTGAGAAAATACAGATAATCAGTAAATTTCTGTTCATATACTTTCTGTACAATACAACTTATTTTAAAATACTATAAAATTAAGATTATGGTGAGGTAAATAAGGCTCTTGCCTTGGGGCTCAAAATATAAGAGAATGTCCAAAACCTCAGTAATCAAGATAAATAATATTTTATGCATTCTTTTTAAATATCCAAGTGTCTTAGTCACTTTCTCATTGCTAAGACACAATACCCAACACTTGCAATTTAAAGGAGGAGAGGTTTTGTTTGGCTCACAGTTTTGAAGTTTCAGTCCTTGCACTGACTTGAGCCATATGAGACCAAGGAAAAAGGATAAATGTGTACCCCTGTATTCAAGCTTTTCTTTATTCTTCTGTGGGTTTTTTTCCCAGAACACTATGTACACAGTAGAGTACATACACAGTTGTCTGGAATCGTGTAAAAATAAGTTCATGTTCATGTTGAAAAGACATTGACAAATGGGTGCCTAAACTATCACAACTTTATTTTTAAAGTTTAAGTATTTCATTCACGTCAAAGCTGGCATTTATTTTAATTTTACTTTGGCTTTAATATAAGAAAACTTAATCAAATTTCAGAATCAACTTCTTTGCTTTTCATATTTTGAACTGAGAGACTGCCATATTTGAAGTACTTACGGTTGTCATTCGGTCAAAGGAAATTCGTTGAACTTGACCAAAGTTGATGTAATGTGTTTGGTATGCTTTTATAAAGTCTGCCCTATTTATTACCTAAATTTCTACCTTGTTAAATTAAATTAGCTATTTAATAGATCTCACTAAAATATTAATATCTGAATTCAGACTTTGTCTTTACCATGTTTTATTATTTTCCTTTCTGATGCATGGTTTTCAACAGTTGGAACGGGAACTGGCTGAACTCAAGGGGTCTGGCAAAGGGCACAGTGACAGATCCAATAACAATAAAGTAACTGAGGTTGAAAAATCAAAGAGTTGTGAAACCATCATAGAAGAACCAAATCTTCAACAGAAGATAATGATCAAACTAAATGCCTTAAATGAAAGGGTAACATTCTGGAACAAAAAACTAGATGAGTATGTTTAAAGAATTATCTAGTTCAGAGTTGATATATGAGAGAATAAGAATGTCTGGTGTCATCAGTTAAATTCAGTTTCCTTGTTCAGTAATGGAAAGAATTAAAAATGAAGACATGACATGTTTTCCTTAGTCCAGTTGCTAGTGCATAATGAGCATGCATCCCTGGTCACAGCTGGCCTGCAGTTTGTGGTAGAGGCGGTTCTTAATCAGGAACAGTGAGCATCTTTTGAATGCCTTCTTGTCGCATCTCTGCACACTAAAAGCAAAAGGGCACCGCTGGCAGAGGAACTCACCAAAGTGATGAGATCTGGCAAAGTACATACACAGTTATCAAAATCATGTAAAAACAAGTTCATGTGCATGTTATCAACTAAAAATTTAAATAAGGCTTAATAAGGACTGTGAAAAAATTTTACTTCTAAGGCATTAGAAGTAAAGGCATTATTGGATAAGGCATTAAGTGGATAAATTAGTCTGTCCTATAATAATGTTAACAATAAACATTAGTAACATTCTGGTGTGGCGAGGTTTTCCTGTGCCAGACTCTTTGCTGTGAGTCTTACATGTATAAGCCTCAAGACAGCCTTTTACGACGTGGGTATGAAATAGTACTGCCATTTTATTGAGAAAATGGAATCATAAAAAGGTTAAAATTATATAAGATTTTTAAAAAGCAGTGTTAGACCCAGGATAGTCTTCTAATCTTTATATATTCTGAAATTAAAATTTGAGGTGGTTTTAAATTGTAAAAAGACAAATGTCTTTTACTCGGTTGAAGTATTAACAAGCTTTATTCATTGAAAAAAAAAGAAACTGATATATTTTGACATCAGTTAAACTGTTATGACTTTTAATGTTGTGATTTTTAGATCATTCTAATAGCTGTATATATATTTTTTTCTTCAATAGAATTGAAGCAATCTATCGTATTGAAGTAAAGCAAAAGAAGGAAAGTCATGGCTTATTGATCCCATTTTTGCTAATTGAATTGGAAACTGTGGGAAATATCTATTTTGAACAAGGCACGAGATCTGATGACTGGTAAATCTGTTTGAAGTTTATGTATAGTTTTAAAATAACTTTAAGTAATAGTTTCATCAACTAAAATATCAACTTATAATTTTAAAATGTCCCCTTTTCAAAACATTTCTCCTGAAGAATCTTAATCTAACAAAAATTGTCAGTTACCTACTTCACCTCTTACGCATTTCTCTGTTTACACTATCACTGTCGGCTAACCTTGAAGACATCTTAATGATATATCATTGATCTTTACCCAATTTTTCTGAGCTAAAGAACTGAGTATCATTTAGAAAGAAATAGTTTATAGTAAAGTATTAGTTTTTTATATGTTCCTATTGTTTGTTTCTGCACTGGATAGAGGCCTGGATTCTGAATATTGGTTGAGAAGCTAAAACACAACAGGACTACCAAACCAAATAACATTGCTAACATGGAAGTTTTTCTAGCAAGTATTCTGTAGGCCTATGGTCAAAGAAGAGCTTGTTATTTAGAGCTAGCTGTGGTCAGGGTGCACATAAGCACTGCACATTAATAAGACATGTGCTTAAACCTAGATTTGGGATCAACAGCCCATATAGACAAAAATGGAGAGAACCACAGGAAACAGAAGCAGAAAATGGGATCCACACTTTGAAGCCAAGATCTACCTATCAGGAGAAATAGGAAATGGGTGGATTGCCTGAATAGAGGGCACAATTAGAATCCTTAAAGAAAAAAGAAAGCCTTGATGAAGAATCTTGTTAATTTATGACTTTCATATTCCTGAAGTCATTTTCTCAAAATTGAGGAGCCTGTGAAACAGCCAGGGATTGCCCTAGAACCATAGTGGGAATGTCAGTGTTTGGAGGTTCACCAGGAGACACTGTAAGTTCCCCTTGGTGGGGAACACGGTTTTACTGAATCAGTTGCAAAATAAATACCGATTATTGAGGAGTAGAATGCAAAATTTGCATTAATTTTTTAGGAAAAAAAGTTTTGTTGTTTTTTTTTTGGTGCTGGGGATTGAACTCGGGTCCTTGCGCTTGCAAGGCAGGCGGCGGAACCACTGAGCTAAATCCCCAGCCCCAACTATTATTAAAAGTTATTTTAAACCAAGCCCCAGATTTCCATTCGAGGTAGCTGTTTACTCCTCAGTGAGTAAAAGCTTCTCACAGATCTTCTTGAGAAGTACTCTCAAGAGTGAAAGAGACTTTTAAAAGTTTTATTTTGTATCATTGAATCCATTTACCCAGCAGTTTACACTGTTTAGTACTTGATTTTTATGTATAAGAATATAAAAGGTGTTCATGTCAATTCCCGCATAAATAAGTAAGGGCATGATTTTTCAAGTGCAAAACTGAATGGTATCCCTTTTGTTTCTTTTTTTGACTTATTTCAAAGTAAGCTCTTAGCCAGGTATGGTGGTTCAGCTGGGCATGGTGGCTCACTCCTGTAATCCCAGCACTCGGGAGGCTGAAGCAGGAAGATTGCTGTGAGTTTGAGGCCAACCTGGACTACATAGGGAGCTCAAGGCTAGCATAAACTGCACAGTGAGACCCTGTCTCAAAAAATAAATAAATAAATAAAAATAAAACAAAGTAAGCTCTTAACAAAACTAGCAGATTAGTGAAAAATATTTTTAAATGAAATTACTAAAATGGCAGAATTTCAAGGACTTTTTTTTTTTGGTACCAGGGATCGAACTGGGGTCCTTGTGCTTGCGCAGCAGTGGGTGAAACCACTGAGCTAAATTCCCAGCCCTCAAGGACTTTTTTTACTTTAAGCATACTACAAGTTTGGCCACCTTACAGCTGACCTTTTGTGTATATTAAGAAATAACAACTAAAGTGCTTTAAACTGGAATCTGCTGCATTTTTGGTTGTTTTATTTAAACACTGACTTCTTTATTAATATTTCTAAGGCCAAAGATTTAGCATTTTATTAAGAAGTACTTGAGTAGTACTAGGACTCAAATAGAATGATTTTCTAGCCTTTATTACTTTAGTAAAAAACAGTGCAGATTTCTAACTGTATATTATTGAACACATCTTAATTTCTTTTATGAAACAGTTATTATATTTTTCAGTTCTAAAATATCATTATTTTATAGACTTACCAGTTGATTGCTGCCACTTTAGCTTTATCATTATAGATTTACCTATGTGCTGCCAAGTGAGTTACCTATCAACATCAGACAGCATTCATGAGCAAGGAAGATGCTGTTCTCCTGCTTAATTTAAAATGAAACTTTAAAGCACCACAAAAGAATATATAAGTGAATCTATAAGCTCCTTGGGGAAGTATATGATATTTCATGTGGCTTATAAATCATAGTATCTAGCATAGGGCTAGATTCATAGCCCAAAATATAAATTACTAATTGAAGTTTCCATGTTACTTTATAAGTACTCATTTAACAATTTCACTTTGATGTGATATTTTCAGTAATTAATCTAACTATAAGTAAAGATTTCATGCTGTACTCTTTAGGAGCTATAGCAGCAAAAGCTTACTGTTTTATACAACAAAACATTGGTTTAAGTCAGCAAATCAGTTAACAGTATTTAGTAAGCCTTGGTCTAATAAATTATATTAAGTTCCACCCATTTAAAAGCACATGCGTTCTACATTGTCTGCATCGTTTGTATATTAACTAAAGTCTGTAGGCATCTTTTGGTGTAATTGAGTATCTTAGTCCGTGATAAGTGTCAGTATGAATGCTTATAAACTCAGGTCTCATTAAGTGAGGGTACTCGGGAAATTTGAGGGGCCCTCACTCTCCTGACCATAAAGCATTTGATACTGTCAACCATTCCTTCCTGTAATTCCATCTCTCTTGATTTCAGTGTTTAGAATTTTTCTATTTTTGTATGCCTTTCCTTATTAGTCTCCTTTCCTGTACTTTCATGTTACCTATAGTTACAACCTCTCTCCTGGACTCTAGCCCTGAGACTATTGGACAGAGAAATGTCTATTGGACATTTCTACCTGGATGTCCAACTGGCAAAGCAAACTCAACACATTAAAAGGAAATCAGCTATAGTAGAATGCATCAAGGAATGAGAAACAGAAGACCTAGGTTCAAACTGTGTAATCTTGAAACAGCCATTTAGTCTATCTGAACTTATATCTTAGTTTAACTTTCCTCATTGGTGAGACAAAATACCTGACACCCAAAGTTAAAGAAGGAAAGGTTTATTTGGCTTACGGTTTGTAGAGGTTTCAGTCCATAGTTGGCTGGCTCCAAGCAGGGTGGCATGGCAGAAGGATGTTGCAGAGGAGCAATAGTCCACAGCAGTCAGGCAGGCGAGGGTGCATTAGCCCTTTTTCTGTCTCTTTATACACAGATTACCCACCCTAGGGGAGGAGTAGCACTCACACCCTTAATCCTACCCAGAACTATGCCAAACCATCAGTGAACTGATTTAGTAATCACATACCCTTGATCCCAGCACCACGCACTCTAGGCCCATCCCCCTCTGATAAGCACCCCCATGACCGCATGAGGCTTTGGGAGGATATCTAGACATAGCCCTGACAGTACGTTTAGATGAGATCATGTGAAAATACTTCACCTTGAATTTTTGCTTTGTTCTGTTTGGGTTTTGATATCTTCTTGGTTACCCATTCTCAGCAAACATCGAAGACATTCTTGACCCTGTCCTCTCCCTCAGTCTCCACAACCAGCCGGATGCCAAGAGTCAGCTCTTGCCACACCTATCACAATGCCTGCGTGTAGCCGGTGCTCAGTGTTCATTAATCAGTAAAGTTTCCTAAATGGTCTCTCATATGATTTTTTCTTTCTTTTTTTTTTTTTGGTACTGGAGATCGAACTCGGGTCCTTGCGCTTGCAAGGCAGGCGGCGAAACCACTGAGCTAAATTCCCGGCCCTATTTCTTGCTTCCTTCACAGAAAGCACTCTTAAAAACAAAACCAAAGAAAGCCTTTAGTTACTGTTTCCTTCCAAATTACATTTAGATCCTTCACCTACAGAGGAGAATTTAATGTCTCTAAATTATTATCACACCTTTTCAACCTTTTCCTTCGTGCCTCCTATTCCTGGTGCACAGGTAATCCCACTTAAGTGTTTTGTTTGTTCTGCTTCCTTCACCCAGAATGCCTTTGTGTCCCTCATCCTAGTTTTATCATTGCTCAGGTGAATTTCTAGCAGAAAAAGAAAGTCTTCATGGAGCTATTTGTGTCCAGACTAGAAGCTAAATATTGTCCATTCATCATTTCCACCCATCCATGAGAACACTCCAGCCCCACTACGATCCACTGAATAACAAAAACCTTATCTAATCACAGATGTGTAAATACTGAATAGTTTCTCTGGTGTGAGAAACTGAAAGTGTAAATAAGGACTAAATGTATAATAGGTCATGTGAAATAGGAAGAAAAGGGGCAAAGGGGAAGGAAGTGGGAGGGCTAGGGGAAAGGATAGAAGGGAATGGGATTAATATGAGAAAATGGAAAAATAGGAACAAAATTTTTGTAAATAGGGAGGGCTGGAGGGGTTGAAGGGAGGGCTGGGCAAGGGTGAAAAACAAGAACCAAGAGAGACTATGTAAAGGTGCAAATTTCCAATGATGAATATCATTGTATTGTATACCTGAAATGTACCAATTATTAGAATGAATAATTGATAATGTAAAATAGGAATAAAAGGTCCAAAGGGGTAGGGGTAGTGGGAGGCACAGGGGAAAGGAAAGAAGGGAAAGGAAAAAATGATGAGAAATGGAAAAAATGGAAATAAAGTCTTTGTAAATAGGGAAGGGTGGGCTAGGAATGGGGAAAAATAAGAACGAAGATGCATTATATAAAGGTACAATTCCCAATGAGAAATGTAATTGTGTTCTATACCTACAATGTACGAATAAAAGAATTTAATACAAAAAATAAATAAAAGCTGCCTTCAAAAACAAACAAACAAAAAAAACCCTTATCTAAAATCCTTATAGCATGAGTCCCTATCAGAGTGGAAGAAGTCTGATACATACAGCTTCAGTGGTTCCAAGACTTGTTATTTAGGTGAGATGTGGCTGATTTAGATCCAGAAAATGATCCCTCTCTAGGCACAGCAGATTTTCCACTGCAGATGACAATGTGGCTTTTTCGTGAGATCTTTTAACTGGCTAGCAGGCATCTTGCTGGAGTGTAACACTGTTTTATTCATTTCCGTCTCCTCTAGGGACTGTAAACTCCTCTGGGATTAGTTTGGTTTGCACAGTTTAGATGCTCAGGTATTAGGCTCAAGTGGAAGCTCATTCTGTATTTTAGCTCACACTCATGTTCAGGCCTTGGTAGATTTTGAATGTGAGGGCCTAGACATGTCCATAACGGTAAATGTGACCCATATACATTTACATGTATCTCTTATTTGTTGTCAAAATGTTCTGTTTTTAAAATCTCAGTCTAGATTCTGTACTCTTAAATCAAGATTGTAATTTTATGAGAATGGCCACGTGAGGGCAGCAGAAAGTCAGCCAACATTTCAGTGTCTACATGTTCTTGAGATCTGCACCTCTCCTTTTGTTCCCAGATCAGATACCTTTTCTGACATCTTCACCAAGATCCTATCTCTTTTCTTCATAAATGAGATTTTTATGAAAGATAATTATTTTCCAAAACAGAAAAGAAAAACAATACTGGGAAGAGTATTCTTTTCTCACATTTTTTTTGCAAAATATTTTAATATTTGGCTGAATAAAAGACAGCTTAATTCTTATAGGTGCTTCTGTAATTTATTGTGATATATTGTGTTTTGATACAACAATACTTGACCAGTGGTAGTTTTAAGTTTTATAGGTTAATTCCAGTGTGGAATCTGAGACCATATCAGTGAACTTTTTATATTTTTACATTAAAATATTTCACATGTAACCTTATGCATTTTGGTCATTTGAAAAATATCAGTTTATTCAGTTAAGTTATCCAGATCTTTCAGTAGTTGGTATAATTAGGAATTATTTTATTTATGGCTTTACTTGTTTATTTTCTACATTGGTCCTGAAATGTAGGTTCTGTGAGAGCAGAGACATTGTATCTTTCACTTCTGAATCCCTAGTTAGGAAGTTATAACAGTAGTCAACTAAGAGATAATGATTATTTGGACTACAATGGCAGTGTTGGTGATGAAATGTGATCATATTCAGGATGTATTTTAGACCAAAATATGTGTTAGAACCAAACAGACATGCTGAAGAATTAAATATTGGCAAGCAAGAGAGAAGGTGGTTATCTCTGTTTCTAACCTAGGCTCCAAGTTAGGTGGATGTGCCATGTATGGTACTGAGATGAAAACACTCTGGAGGAGCAAATTTGAAGTTAGTTACAGTGTAAGTTATGTTTGAGAGAGCTGTTACTTACACAGATAGAAGTATCATGTAGGTAATTAAATATTCTAGCCTGAGTATAGGCAGGTACATTGGATAGAGATAAAGGCTAGAAATAAAATGTTGTAATTTATGAGAATATATATATAAGACTAAGGACCAGATGAAATCACCTAGGGAGAGTGTCTGTGGCAAGAAGAAAGCCAAAAGCTGATCCCTGGGGAAATCCAACAGAGAAGTCTGTTAACCAAGAACCCACAAAGAAAGCCATGAAGGACCAGCCAGTAAGAAGGAAGCCAGGAATATGTAGTTTCACCAAGACCAGTAAAAGAAAGTATTTTAGGAAAGGAGGATTGGTCAAACAACTTAGCTTTTAGTCAGAAAAAATATATAGGATAATTAATAAAAGAACTTTTTTTACTGTATTTAAAAATTTAGCATCTTTTATTGATTGAATAAATTATGCATGGTTTGAACCAAAACAAAATCTATTATTTTCTTTATGTATATTTTATATTCCCACATAGGTATAATTCCTGTTATGAATTAATTCTATCACGTTTCTGTACATGGGATTTCAGAACATACGGTATTACAGGAGTAAAAGTAAAACGTGTCATTAAAGTTAACAATCGTATTCTGAGACTAAAATTTGAAAAGAAATTTCAGAAGTTTTTGGATGTTGGAGATATGCATGATTCAAAGTAAGAAATTGAATTCTGTAATGAACAGTTTTATAAAAGTCTGGATTGATTTTATTTATTTTAAAAAGGTCTATTTTAAATGTTAACAGTATTGAAAATACACTCTAGCTAGGATGACCTCATTATTTAGCTATCTGCACTGGTCCGTTTTGGAGAAGGTATTAAAAATGAAGGAATATCCAGTATAAACAAAAACATCTCCATCAAGGCATATGTCTATTTTACCTAAGCTTTTGTGAAACCAATTCTCACTGTTTTTTCTTCTGTTCCAATTATTCTTAAGGAGCTATCGCAAGATGCTGGAATGCCTTTTTTATGTTTTTGATCCTGAAGTTACAGTGAAGGAAAAGCATCTGCTACAGATAATTGAAAAAGGATTCAAAGAGAGTGAAAGAAGCAAGGTAACATAAAACATTGCGTAGAATAAGGCTTTCTTTCTAATGGGTGCACCTTCGGCACAGGTTAACCATGTTTCCTTGTCCTGCATTGATGTTTCTAGCAAACTTTGGCTGTTTCACAGAAAACTTAGTGACGTCATACAAAGTATAGCATCTTTTCCATATTTCCATGAATTACTTTATCTGTGAACTGTACTTAATCCTTCTAGGCATCTTGTTTTTGTATTGTATCATGATCCTTTTGTTAATACTTTTGAAGTGTCCTTTTTTAAGTGACTATACACCTATTACTAATCTTATATCTATTGAAACTTCTTAAGGGTCTTTTCTAACTTGAAAAAAAAGCCATTCTCTGAACTCTGCTATTCTTTTTAGGTTCCATCCTGGAAACCCAGCCTTTCTAGGAACCCATCCTAAGTTCCATCCTTTCATTGCTACCAATTCTTTCTTCTCTACTTCACTGTCTTCCACTTTAATGCTGACACTGCTTTTTCACTGGCTACTCCTGAACTCCAAAATATCCAGCCAACTCCTCTCAGTCCTCATGCTCTTGACAAGATAACTTTAGCACACTGGTACTTAGCAGAATTTTCCTTACCATTTTCACATTGTGGCACACATAAAATTCTAACATTGCTGCATTTGAATCCTCACTTTGCTACTCACCACTACAAATGATTTCATCCCTGTGGCCCTGTTTCTTCTTCTCTGTAAAGTGAATAGTAGTATCTGGTTTGCAGAATTGTTGGTAGGATTTAGTGAGATAGTGCATAAAATAGTTATTGAATACTATTCAAATAACCAAAGCGTAGAAATAGCCAAATGTGCATCAATAGATGATGGATAAACAAAAGGCAGTATATACAAGCAATGGAATATTATCAGCTGTAAAGAAGAAAATTCTGACCTTTGGAAGAACTTTGAAAACATTAGGCTGAAAGAAATAAGCCAGGCAGCAATGGAAAAATATTCTATAATTCCATGTATATGAAGCACTTATGTTATGCAAATTAGGGGCAGAAAGTAGAACAGAGAGGGAGATGAAGGAATGGGAACTTATTGTTTAGTACGTAAGAAGTTTCAGTCTGAGATGATGAAAAAGTTGTAGAAATGAATAGTGGGGAAGGTTGTACAACAATGTAAATGTACTAATGCCCCTAGATTATATGTTTAAAAAGTAGTTAAAATAGTATAGTCTTCTTTATGTTTTACCATAGAAAAGTCACCACAAAAGCATTCTGGCTGCTCAGTGGAGAATAGGTTGGAGGGAGTAGCAGCAGATGGTAGGGTGCTATGCAGGGAAGCTCCTGCAGCAGCTCAGGCCAGAGATGTGAGCAGCTCTGGCAGGATGGGGGAGGTGAGAATGTGCTCATTGTAATTCCTCTAAGGGAAGCAAGCGGGTGAAGAATTCAAGGTTTAAGAAAGCAGAATGACTGTTAGTATTCAATTCAGAGAACCACGACCCATCATGGCTACAGAAGGAGGGGTGAGGAAGGGGCTGACACTTTGTTTTCTCTACCCACCAATATTGTGCCAAATGCTTTATCTTCTGCGTCTTCTAAAAGAGATGGATTTTCTCCTTTAATTCTCCTAATAGCTCTGAGTGCTGCTCTGTCCACTAGCGTAATCACTACCTACATGTGACTACTGAGCATTAGAAATGTAGCTAGTCCAAACTGAGTGTGCCTGTTTAAAATAAACACCTGTGTTGTAAGACTTAGTATGAAAGAAGGACTATACTTCTTATATTGAAATATGTTGAAATAATATTGTGGATATATTGAATTAAATAAAATGTATTATTAAAAGTTACCAAAAAGATAAAAAAGTTCTTGCAGCAGGGCCTACTATATGGAAAGTTTTTGATACAATATTTTACCATTATTGTCTATCAAATAGCAACAGATACTATTTGTTGGTCTCTCTTTCTCTCCTTTGTGAAATTCTCCTTGGACATCCACAATATTACACTATTGCTGTCTTCCTATTTTCTAATTGTCCCATCATTGTTTCCTTTTTGTTCCTCATTTTTCCTCTAACCATGAGAATCCCACAAGATTAAAGTTAAGTGTTCTGCCTTTCTGCAAATACCATCAAGTACTCTTACTATGCAGATCTTAGAAGTGGGGGTGCATCCCTGTATAAGAAGATCAGATGAACTAGATTTCTGTGCTATGAGAAGCATTGGCAAGTGAAGATAAATAATTATGTTCTGCATTAAGAGATGGTTTCTGTCTTACTTTCTCATTACTGAGACACAATAGCAGACACCCATAAATTAATGGAGAAAAGTTTGTTTTTGCTCACAGTTTGTAGAGGTTTCAGTCCATAGTCAGGTGGCTCCATGGTAGGATGGCATGGCAGAGGAGAAGAAGTTCATGGCATAGCAGGGAAGCAGAGAGAGTAAAGGGAAGAGAAAAACCCTTCCAGGCCACACTCCAGTAACCCACTTATGACCAGATCCCACCTCCTAACAGCAAGTCACCTATAGACTCACCAGCGGACTAACCCACTGATGAGTATCACGTCCCCATGAACCAGTCACCTCCCAAAGCCCCACCTGAGAGCATATGAGGCTTTGGGGGACATCTAGATATGAGCCCTAACAGGCTCTGATTCAGTTGACAGCTGTGTGAGTAGTTTTGATAAGAGGTTGGCTTAGGTAGGCAGTGGGCTAGCTGGAGTAGAGAAAAAAAACAACTACCCTCAACTTGACTCCCTATTACCGTACATACCAGATCTCTCAAAGCAAGCTTGTACTGTATTTGTAATTCTCCTAAACACAAGTTATTGCCATGTTTACCTTTGATAAAATGTTATTTCCTACCCCTTTCCTTACTTATCCTTCGAGGTTTGGCTCAAAGGTGTTCTCCTCTCTGAAGCCTTTCCTGAATTCTCAAATGCCTGAGCCCTCTTTCCTTGTTTGCAAATTTTTTAGAAAGCCAATTAAAATGATCTGTTAACCAATTATTTACTTAAAAATTCTATAATCAACTCAAAATTTAAATTTACATTCACTTCTCAAGCTTCTTTGTAAGGCCAAAACCTTTGGCTGTGAAATTGGAACTCTCCCTAGTCTACCTTGTATCAGCTAGAATCATGTTTCATGTTAGTTTTGGTTTCCTTAAAGTTGAAAATGTGTTTAGATTCTGGCAAAGCAGCTTGAGTACAACAATCCAAATAGTGTGTGTGAGTTCCATCTGCCACCACAGAACTTTGGTGTTGGCCTCACCTCACCCAGACATATTTTGGCAAACAACCACTATTAAATTTCACTTAATTTTCTACTTAGTTCTCAGAGAAACAACTTTCCTTCCATTTCGTTGCTTTATATAATATGCATCATTTCAATAGCAATTACCAGTGGCATAAACAAATTCAAGAACAAAACTGACACTTGGTATGCATACAGTGTGTCTGGGTGGAAGTACATCAGTGTTTCAGAAGGTTCCACCCTATCCTTGAATGGGGTTTATAGAGAACAGTGGGTTACTGGACAATCCTGCACATTGTCAAGTGTTAGTCTAGTAAATGGCAGTTAATTGAGAGTTGTTGTTATTATAGCACCTTGATTACTGAAATGCTGTCATCTGTGTGGATTTCTCTACTAGTCTTTAAAGGCACGGACTTGGTTTATAGAAAAATTCTTAGTCCAAATCAGGTGAATAAGTGGATAGATGCATCTGTTCTGTACCTTCATATATTTTCCTCCTCTTAAAAATAATTTCTCTTTTAAAAAATAGTAATTTCTCTTTAATTTCTGATTATTTGAATTATGTCCAGTTTTTGAGGCCTAGTCACGATCCTTTTGCCTCTTCAAATTCTTTTCTAATCACTTTAGTTCAAAAGAATATCTGCTTTAACGTATCTTGTGATGCTTTGTATTTTTAATTCTTAGATACATTCCTGTTTTCTCCTCTGTCATTTGAAGGCTGAGGTCATGGGATACCTCACAGTGCCGAGTGTATAGGTTGGAGTTAATAGATAGTGATGATCTTTGCCAATCTGAGATTTACTTACCAGAGTGTGGGAATTGTGGTCACATGAGCCATTTTGGATTGAACCTAGGACATTTGCATTGAGCTACGTTCCACAGGTTTTCTTTTTGAGACAGGGTCTCACTATGTAGTTCATACTGGCCTTGTACTATGTAGCCCAGGCTGTCCTCAAACTCACGGCAATCCTCCTGCCTCAGGCTCCTGAGTGCTGGGATTACAGGCATGTGCTGTTACAGCTGGCCCAAGTTGTTCTTTAATGTGTTTGTTTTTTGAAACAGGATGCCTAGGCTGGACTCAGACTTGTGACCCCCACCCCCACTCCTGAGCCTCTCACAGTACTGGATGTAGGCATAACCACCATACCTGGCTAGTTCCTGATTTTTAAGAACTTCTTTGGATAACATATTTCAATAAGAAAAAAATATATACTTATAATTTCAGAAAAGTTATAATTCTAAATAATGTGGCTATTAATATAAAACAAGTGACAAATTTAAAACTCTGTGATTGTAACAGGAACAAATGATCTGCATTTAAGTTAGGACTTTGCTGATTTCTAATTCTGTTCTTGAACAGGTCATGTAGTGTCTCTGAGCTGTAGTTTTCCTTCTAAAATAGAGATTTTTTTTTTTTGCTTTTTAGAGCTGTTTGCATAGCAAGTAATGCAGATATTACTGATACAACACTTTTGAGAAATAAAGCTAGTCACAATGCAAAGTGAAATTTTCATGCATTGGCACAGTAAGAAACATTTTGTTTCTGGAAAACAATGTAGATGATTAGACCAAAACATCAGAAATAAGAACTTTCACTCATGTGCCATCCCATTACCACAGGACTTTCTTTTTGGACTTAACAAGATTGCTTATGGAGTGCTCATGAATTTAAAATATTTAAATGGATTTGCAGAATGAAGTTGCACCTGGAGGGTATTTGCTTCTTTTCAGTGAGCCTGGCCTGCACATTTCTGTGCCCAGACACATAAACATAAAATAATAAACCATCTGTATTGAGATCAAAGTATTGTTAGTTTTGTAAAAAAAAAAATACTCAGGTGTTTATTGTTTGCAGCTGCCTCTCAGAAAAGAAGCCGTTATCCTTGCTAACAGCCTAAGTATGTGTGAATGTCCCCGAATTGAGTTTCTACAGCAAAAATACAAGGATGAGAAGAGAAGCTCTTTTAATCCTGATCTCTTCAGACATGGTAATACAAGTATAGAGTATTTTTGAACTCTTAAGTCTTCAAATTCATTTATTATTTTCATACCATTTTTGGTACTTGGTCTTACCAACCCAGGAGGTTTTTATCAGACCATTTTATTTCATATGTATTAATGTCAGGATGAAGACTTTACTAATTTAGCCACATTGTCAACAAATGCTTAGTGTGTATCACACTGTATTAGCAGTAGCAGTCATTTATTATTCAGATATTTAACATAACTTACATATGCTTTTCACAGCCTGCTTTTGTTAGTTATGTTGTGTCATAAAATAAATGCAACATTCATGTATATATGAATACACACAGATGTATATATATCTCTCTATATATAGATATATATATATATATAAAACATACATACCAAACTCACAGAAAGAAGTAAAGAGAAAGTGGCCCAAATACTTGATAATCTCATAAAGCACTCTAGATGGTAGGATTTATTTGTCCTGAATAATCATAATGTAAGGTGGTAAGAAAAACCAGCTAGAAACAAATTGTGAAGCTCATGGTTTGTTTTATAGAAGATAAACTTTTGTTATTTAAAGTTATTCTATATATATATATATATATATATATATATATATGTACTTTTTTTTTTAAAATGTGAGCATTTTTTCCCTTTAGATTAAGGTCCTTAGAATTTACCAAAGTACTAAAGATTCCTAAGAATCAATAAATCTGAAAAAAATCATTTCTAATTACTACATATAAAGCAGTCAAAAGGTTGTTTGTGTATATTATATACATGTTATATATACAAAAGATTGTATAATATATAATAAGCATATATAAACATATAACAGTAATATACAGTATAATATAGAAATGTATAAATAAGTATATATAAATATATAAGCATATAAATAATAATGTAAACATAAAAGTACAGGAAACACTTTTCAGGACACAGACTGGGGAAGAAGACCACCACATCATGTCCTGCCTTGCCTCATCCTCTTCCATTGTCATTAACTCGTACATGATAGAGATACAGTCGGAAAACTAAGCAGTGTCTCTTTTTTGGTGTTTACAAATACTAGTAATCACATAAATGAATATCATTCCAAGTACTATAAAGGCAATAAATATGGAGTTTTGAGGCATAGTACCAAAGAATGTGTAATAAGGAGAATAGATCAGGTCAGGGATCAAGGAACGCCTACCTGTTCTTTGCTGTCACCTTCACCCCTACTAAAGATTGGATAGTCAGAAATTTAGTTACTTAATTCTGTAATAATGATGTTCTAGATTCCAGACTATAGATTGCTAAGATGATTCATGTTAAACTAAAGTATGTGTGGTTTGCATTGAGTTAATAATGAGAAAATTATACCAATTATTGAATTAAGGGTGCCTCACTTGAAAAAACCATTTGCTACTTTAAAAAAAATCTTCTCCATTCCCATTTTAGGAAGTACTTCATGATGTTATACTAAAACCTTACAGAATATGTTTTCCAAAAACAATTAGGCTCTTCCAATTTACATTTTATATCTCATACATTGTAAAAACAACCTTTTGACTGTTTTATATGTAGTGATTAGAAATGATTTTTTTATATTTATTGATTCTTAGGAATCTTTAGTGCTTAGGTCAATCCCAAGGATCTTAATCTAAAGGAGAAAAATGCTCACATGTTTTTAGTGCCTCCTGTGTCTTAAGCTATATAAATTTTAGTTAACAACAAAATCTTATTTTAAATGACTTAAGAAAGACATGGCTAAATTATTGTGTTCTCTCTTTTCGGTAAAGTTTCACTTGATATAATCACAGGGTTCCTCTTTTATAGCCATTTTATTTATTCAGAACATATTAGTTGAGTGCCTCCTCCAAGTATTTTGGATCAAGTAGTGGGGCTGTATGCTATACAGGAGCAAGCAGTATAGCCAGGTCTTTGCCTTTACAGAATGTAAGTCAAGTCCAATAAGTCAAGACCAGTGCAGAAGTTTATAGTGGAAAATTATTGAAGTGATTTATTGTTAAAGATTGTTTCTTTCTTTTTTTCATATTTAGGCATCCTCGTCATTACAAAGGTTTTTCTTGGCCAAAGTGTTCAAGCTCGGGAACAGGAATCCATCAGTCAAGCCAACTATCCCATGGTTAATTCCGTGTTCATTCCTCAGAAATATTTACAAAGTATGCCCACCATAAAGGAAATGCACTTTAATCTCTCTGAATCTAAAACATTTATAATTAATACAACAGTTTATAGCTTATAGCATATAGTTTAACCTCTACCTAACAAAGTTGGCAAACTTTTCTACAAAATCTGTTTCTGAATACTAATAATTCTTCTGTTCCCTACCTGAACTTATTTTTGTGTGTGCATAGTTTATTTCACACATTTAAATATATATATATATAATGTCCTACAGTCATCCTTCAGTATCTTTGGGGAATTGGTTCCAGGGCCATTCATCTTCACAGATAGCAAAACCCATGGATGCTCGGGTCCCTTCTATGCAATGATGTAGTACTTGTGTGTAACCTGCACAATCTTCCTATGTAATCTCTGTACAACTTTTAATACTTAACACAATGTAAACACTCTTTAAATAGTTGTTATATTGTATTATTTCAGAATAATAAGAAAAAAGTCTGCATATGTTCATTGCAGAGTTTGTTTACATACTTTCATTCTGTGATTCATTGAATCCACTGATGCAGATCCTGTGGATGTAAAGGACTCTGCATATGTGTGTGTGTAACATAAATATCTGCATTAATTTTCAAAGAAAAACCTCAACTCTTAACAACAAAAGTTTTAAAGCAGTATATTCCTCAAAAATACATGGCCATTTATTCAGTACTAATATGAAAAAATGTAAAAAGGAAAAGGATATGAATAAAGGTCAATTCCACTAGTCTATGTAGTGAAAGGAAATATTAATACAGTTAAGAAGCTGAAGGGTGGGGAGGTTTTTTATAAAAGCCCTTAATAATATAATTGTTGGAAGTTAGTGAGAATACTTTATTATATAATCTGTTTAAGAGTTAAAAAGGATATTATATTTGAGTGCTTTGCTTGTTTTTGTTTTTCTACTAGATTCTATCATGGGACAAAGAAATTGTGATTGTGGCTTTCGGCAGTGCAAGTGGTTTGTCTTTGATCATGACCTTGTTTTGCCAGAGTACATTGTTGAATTTGAGTATATTACAGTGGTATGAATCATTATATATATTTAAAAAGAGGAATTCCTTAAATAGGAACAGAATAGTAATTTGAAGTCTGTTAATGTTATGTCAAGTTTATATCATGTATAAGTGCATAGTGTATGTGTGCGGTTCCATGCCCATGTGTGTATAGGTGTAATGGCTATTTGGTGAAGGACTTAATTTTGAAAACAAGTCATTTTAATGCCTAAATGTTTTATAGATTCTGTGTGCGTGTGTTTATGTGTGTGTTTGGTACTGGGGATTGAACTCAGGACCTTGCGCTTGCAAGGCAGGCACGGTGCTACTGTGCTAAATCCCCAGCCCTCTAAATGTTTGTATTATGCAAATATAAAGAAGTAACACATGATGTAGTTTCACTGGAAAAGCTTTGAACTGTACGTAAGACTACAGCATAAACATGAAATTCTGCTTTCCTTTTAAGGCTCCACTACTTCCTCTCATCCAGGTATTCCCTGTTAACAGTTCTATGGGTTTGCTTTCAGTTCTTTTTTTGTGCATTTATATATATAACAACATATACCATTTTATCTAGTAGAAGAAATTTCTAAGTCTTCTGGGATTTTTTTCTTTTAACAATGTGTTTTAGACATATTTCTACCTTTAGTATGTAGGGGCAAATGTGTTATTCTTTTTTTTTATTAAATTCTTTTATTGTAGGTATTGTAGGTATACAACACAATTACATTTCTCACTGGGAAATGTACCTTTACATGATGCATCTTTGTTCTTATTTTTTCCCCATTCCTAGCCCTCCCTTCACCCCCTCCACCCTTCCCTATTTACAAAGACTTTATTTCCATTTTTTCCATTTCTCATCATTTTTCCTTTCCCTTCTTTCCTTTCCCCTGCCCCTCCCTCTACCCCTACCCCTTTGGACCTTTTCTTCCTATTTTGCATTATCGATTATTCATTCTAATCATTGGTACATTTTAGGTATACAATATACTGACATTCATCATTGGAAATTTGCACCTTTACATAGTCTTTCTTGGTTCTTATTTTTCCCCCTTCCCCTGCCCTCCCTTCAACCCCTCCAGTCCTCCCTATTTACAAAGATTTTGTTCCTATTTTTCCATTTTCTCATATTAATCCCATTCCCTTCTATCCTTTCCCCTAACCTTCCCACTTCCTTCCCCTTTGGCCCTTTTCTTCCTATTTCACATTACCTATTATACATTTAGTCCTTATTTACACTTTCAGTTTCTCACACCAGAGAAACTATTTGGTATTTATACATGTGTGCCCTATTTATTTCACTTAAGAGTATCACCTCAATGCGCATCCACTTAGCTATAAATGTCTCTAATTTCTCATTTTTTATAGCTGAGTAGTACTCCATTTTATTAAAAAAACACATTTTCACACACTAGCTTCCAGATTGCTAATATGATCTTCTGCCATCTGGTTTCTCAGCATTTATTAAATATTTTTATATTAATGATTGTTTTTATTTTAACATTGAAGTGTTTTCGATAGCAGCTTTTTAAAAATTATAGATGCCTTATACTTTTCAGTCTTAAAAGATTGTTTAGTGAACTGTTTTGGTTTCTTTTAGAGCCAGTTCTGTTTGTTCTTGTAGCTCTTGCTCATTTCTTCTCAATTCTTACTGTAATTACTTAATTTTGTAATGAGTACATCACCCTCCTCTGAACATCACTCTCAATGTCAGTTTTTTAAAACATCTGATCTTCCAAGTGGTTTTTTCCTGTGTATGTTTTGGCTAGAGTTTACTTTTTTTCTTCTAAATGTGAATTTGATCCCTTTTGATTTATGCCTCATGACTTTTAGTCTTTTGTTGGTTTTTTCCTAACCCTTTGTTATGGAACATTTAAAATTATCTTTTGCCAGTTTTAAGAGTTTTGGTGGGTGTGAAAGGGTGCACCCATGCTTAGTCCTTGATCTTAACCATAGATTTCCTAAATTATTCTGATCCTCACAGATATTCCTGTATTATATAACTAAAAAAAGTCATTTCATCTTTTCTACATGGCCTGTTTGTTTTTCAAAATGCTAAATACAACAACCAAATTTTGAACATTTTAAATAAATTTTCAGATCAAGGCCCACTCTTTATTTTCTACATTCAACAATATTATTATAGAAGAAAGAAAAAACTATTCAGAAGGATCGATATTATCCCAGGATTTGAAATGTGATGATGAAGTCATGAAAATGGAACCTAGGATTAAGCCCCGACCGAAACTTCCTAGTTTGGATGATAAAACAATACTTTCCCTTGCCAAGACTAACGTTTACACTCATATTGTGGTGAGTAGTAATGAGGAGTGAAATTTTGAGATGAGCCTGAAATTTGGAATTAGACTGTAGCTTATGAAGTCTGAAGACACTAAGCCACCAACCTTACGATGCCAGGGATCATGCTTTCTAGTTTAAAAGTACCCAGTCTTTGCCCTCCATGCAGACTAGACTAGTGCTCTCCAGTAATACAATGAGCATCAACATATACTTTTAAGTCTCCTAGTGGTTATATTTTTTTAAAAAACTTTTTAAAAAGGTGGAATTAATTTTACCAAGACATTTTATTTAACCCAGATATCTAAAATATGTCATTTTCCGTGCAGTCAGTACGAACATCCATTTCTGAGACAGTTTCAGACTGAGTCTGAATTCTGGTCTGTGTTCTACACTAGCACATTTCAGTTCAGCCTAGCTCCATTGCAGCTACTGATATCCATTGGAGGTGCCTTTCCAGTTAGGAAATCATTTATCCTAAATAATAGGCTTTACAGGGTTAAGATGAAGGCATTTCAAAGCAGCTTCTAGGGTTAGCACACACAATCCTGGTGTACAGTCAAAACTGAGATGCAGATAAAAATGCAGAAATTATCTTTCTCTGAAAAGATATTTTTCCATTGCCATGTTTCTAGACTCACTGTGTAAGACATATTTTTCTCAAGTGACTGTATAAAGCCAAAAGAGAATGAAGAATATTTAAATAAAATAAGTGAAATCAATAGTTTTAAGTCTGGTTCTGAAATTACTCAGAAAATTATTTTTCCAGACATTTATAGGATTGATTTGATGAAACTCTCTCATCATAAGCCACCAAATCTTTTAAGTCTAGGATATAAAGAGATCTTGATGTTTACCTTAATGTTAGAAAATTTTCATTATATGATGGCAGTGTTAGCTTCTGTACCATAAGTGTACAGAATAGTGATTAGAAGACCAGTCTTCTGGCTGACAGTATGGAGAAATTATTGTTTTGTACTATAATGTCGATACTGAATATATGAGTAATACTTTTTTATAATAAAGTTTTAGTGATAAAATTTTTTAGCAAGAATGTGTTCTGGTTTGATTGAGCTTCCACAATATGTATTCCTGTAGGGGTAAGGGGATTAAATGAAAATTTAAAATCAGCAAAATAGATCTTTTAATTATTTTTGGTTTATAAAGTAGAGGAGGAGAACCAGACTTCCTAAAACATTGATCTGCTTGCCTTTAGCCAACTTCACATTAATTTGATCAGCACCCATAATGAATAGAGAAGCCTTTTCATCTTAAATTTGCCTGTGCTTCTTAAAAGCCAGCAAATTTTCTACAGCTTCTAGTAGGAATACTAGGCATTGGAACAAGAATGTTTAGGTACTGTAACCTTTGCATTCCTTCCTTTGTGCCATTACTATAAGAGCGACTAAGGGCACATTTTCTCTTAATTTCTTTTTAATCTTCCCTAGTAGGTTGAGTTTTATGAGGATATCCCTAAAAACAAATAATAGAAATAAAAGCCTCGGGGTATATAACATAGAATTTTATATTCTTTCATAGTATAATTAAATGCTAAAAATTAGAGTTGTCAGTTACAAGTCTGGCATTGATTTTGCATTGATTTATTCACCTATAATTTACTAGAAATTCCATATGTCTTGGTCAGTGAAGTAAGAATTAGGGGTTTAAAATGAATACATTATTTTCCCTGCCTCAACATCGGTGCACTGGATGAGATTTGTTAACAAATGTAGGAAACTTGAAGTTGCTGGGAGTGCTTCACAGAGGTGAGTTTTGAGTGGATTATTGAGTGGATTATTAGTTGCTTATGTCTTCTAGTCAAAGAAAACACTCTTCCTATTGGCACATGATTTTGAAAGATAACTGGTGTCTTCAAGGAACACTGAGAAATTCACTGTGAGTAAGATACAGGCTTGTGATGGTTGAAGATCAAGACACAGGTTGGAATTAAAAGGAAGATGTAGGAAGCTGAGACTAGAAGAGAAGGTTGTAGCCACATTAGGATGGATTTTGGAAGCTGTATTTAAAATATAGAGTCCACTCTTTAAGGAACAAACTTTTTGTTTTTAAAGATCCTAACTTTGGTAGCTAGTGGATAGATTTAACTGAAGTCTGACTGTTGGTATGGAAACCCAGTAAAAAACTATTATATTGCAGTAATCCAAAGGAGATCATATTATCCGTACTAATGCAACAGTAGTGGTGATAAAATGTAGCAAGTGGTTTGAGAAACATTTCTGCAATTAAGTCCATATGGAAAAGAAGTGATCAATAATGGGTCAGGGATTTAGCTCAGTGGTTCCACCACCTGCCTTACAAGTACAAGGTCCTGAGTTTGATCCCTGGTACCCCCCCTCTCCAAAAAAAGAAGAAGTGATCAATAATGTTTTAAGTTAGATCACAAAATTCTTAATTGGGATTAAAAATATAGGCCACCAAGCAGATACATATGGGAAGATGATGAATTCAGTTGTACTATAACTGAATGTAAGGCATTAAATATCAAGTGTCTTTAGGATCTTACCATGGATGATACTCATATGTAATTTGTAAGATAACTAGTCTGCATAACTTGACCCTTCTTCACAATTGTAGCTAATTTTGGCTGCTAATAGAAGTTTAGTTGTTTTTCCCTTTGAAGAATTTAGTTCTGTCTACAGTAGAATATGATATTGGTAAGTGCAGATGATGAGAATAGACACCTGATTTTATTGTGATGCTACTCACTTGCTGAAAATACTGTAGTCATTTGTATTAACACATTTTCTTGTGGCATTGTTTTTTTCTACACTATCAATGAGTATAGTCTTCACTTGGTACCATTCACAGCTGTATCATTTGAAGACAGAAAAACATATTGGCATCAGGATCTCCCCTAAATATAAAAATGTGATAACATTCATTTTCATGTAACCAAGGATGCAGTGGACAGGAATGTTGGCATAGATCAGTGTTGTATCAGACTGTCCCCACCTCCTCCTCTGCCGTTCTGTCCTCTGACGTCAACATTCACAACCTGTCTTCCTTGGTCTAGAGCCCTTATTCAGGTACCTGCAATCAAGATGTATCTTTACTGTCTCTTCTTGTGAGGTTGCTTGTGAGATACCCAAAATCTCAAGGGCCCCCATTGTTCACTGGCTAGCCTGAGAAATAGAACCATCCTAATATCTTAACTATTATCTAAAATGAATGTCATGCCAACTATTTATAAACTTAGGCCAAGTGGGAAATGATATTCAAGAACCAGGTCCAGCAAAGATAGTATAAACTACTCTTACCTTTTTAACAGCACACATTATTAGAGGGTTTTTTCATATTGACATTCTCTTAATGTCATTTCAAAGAACTACTTTCTTAATATATATATTATATTGGCTCAAGTAATTGTTCTAAACATGATAGATATTAACACTTAGGATATAGAATGTAATATATTTTATTTTTAATTTATATATTTTTTTCACTTCAGAGTCTCAATCTACATGGCAACAGCTTGAGTAGACTGGAAGATCTCTCCAAATTAACTGGACTTCGGAAACTGAACATCAGCTTTAATGAATTGACTTGTTTAGATGATTTATACCACTTGGTAAGAACTGTCCTTTGGAAATCTAAAAAAAGCCAAACTCTGGAAAGCAAAGAATAGAACAGTGGTTCCTATAGCCTAGGGGCTGGGGGAAAGGAAGAGATGCTGGCCAAAAGACGTAGACTTTCAGTTGTAAGGTGAGCTAGTCCTTGTATCTAGCATACAACAGGGCTGGTGATGGTTGTGCTAACTAATTTGTAGTAGTCATTGCACAGTGTATACCAAATCACAATGCATAACTTGAATATGGTCAAACTTAATCTGCCAGTTTAATGTGTTCTTTTAAAAACCTTGGGATAGCAAAAACAATCATAAAACTAAAGGATAGATGATGAGTTGGAATAAGGTCTTTTAAAAAAAAGAGCTGTTCTTTTGAAAGGACAGTTTGGGGTTTAAAAAAATATATTTATGTAAAATGAAATAATGAATAAATTACTTTTGTAATTATGACTTCATGTATAACATACGCAAAATTATACAGCCCACATAAGAAAGCGTACACACACTGTATTATGTTATTGCTCTAAAACAGGTCTTTTCATTTGCAAACCAAAAATATACATCTGTTAATATCTGCTTTCTAGCTACTTTAAACATATTAAAATAACTTCGCAAATCTGTCTTTAAAATGTCCTTCAGAAGAGTTTCCATTTCTTCGTGCTCTTGTTTTTCCACTCTTCTCCTATTCCTGCTTGTGAGTCGCTATTTTACCTTCATTTCCCATCTTACCACTTCACGTCTAACATTATTTCTTCTTCCCATCTGCTTATTATCCAAGTTAGCATTTCTTTCTCTCTTATACTGTCTACCTGTCACACACATAGATCTTGCCTGACTTGTGTTTGCCTTTTTATACAGAATAAGACAGGTACACTGATGTGCATGTCATAGGCATGAATCTTCTCTAACTTTTGTTTTTCTTGTTATATATCATGTAACAAAAGTAATTGTATATGTCGTTCTAGACCTTCAACCCAGCGTCCCCTGTTTATGCGAGTCTGAGTCAATCACATACCTTTTCAGAATATTCTATTCTCAGCTCTTGTTTATTCTCTATCTCATTGCAACCATATAAAAACTTTTCATTGCTTCTTTATCATTGTGATGAGAGCTATTACTTTATTTACTGGCCTTAAGTATAAGTATTAAACTCCTTCCTTCTTTCTTTTGGTAGGCCAAACCCTTTAAGTAAATAGAATTCTGGTTTCAGTATGCAGCTGAGTAGAAAAATAAGTGTGGGACAAGTGTAGTTTAATAGAGGCCCTAGGATTTAGATCGCTGGCATTTTTAATTTTTTATGGTTTGCAAGCTGGACCAAAGGTTATGACAGTCATTATAAGTTTGCTTAGGCACAAATTCAAAAACTAAATAGTTCAGTCATACAGTGTACTTGGATAGTGACTGAAGTTAGCTGGCTACCCAGCATTTATTATTTCACAACATGGTTTTGTTCTCCTTTAATACAAAAGTTGCTTTCATCATCACAGCCTGACAGTCTACTTGAGGGATGGATTTCACCATGGTCATTTTTACAGAGAGGGGAGCTGGGCAAATTTTATGCCCACCTGGTATTCATGAATTTTAGGATCAGCAAAAGTGGCTAGATGTAGACTTCAAGTATCTGTCATATGTTTCTAAAAATGACTATTCAGATGTTGCTGTTAGCCAGAACGAAGGTAATCTACATGGGCATATATGTGTAATTTTAAATCATTTTTATAAAATAAAACAGATAACTGAAAGCTAAATACAACAAATGTATGACTTGGAACATTGTTGTAAGAAAAATGTGTTTGGAACGAGCATCCAGGTCAAGAAATAGAACTTGCTACCTGGGAAAAAATCTCCTCGTATAAACCCCTTGCTTTCCTCTCTCCTCAAGAGGTCATCACCCTGACCTCTGCAGTAATCCTCTCCTTGCAGTTTCCCCAACTAGTTCTGTCACCCAAGTATACATCCCTAACACAACTGTTTGACTTTGCCATTCAGACAAAAGTGTACTGTACCTTTTGTTTTTGTCAGTTATTTTTATTTGTTGCAGCTTATCATCATCATCATCAT